ACAGTGGCACTTGAAAATGCATTTGCGTTGGATCGTAGGAATGTCAATGCATTCGTTGCCAGTTTCAAGAAGTCCTCGGGTTTCTCCAGAGACTCATATGGAAGTTGGTACACCTTGATGGATGAAAGCCCCATGTTGTCAAGTCCAGCCTCGATGTCATTGACGATTCTCGAACTAGATCTCGTTTGGTAAGTCAAATCCGTCAAGATGAGAGCTTTGTTGTTTCTCACTTGTCCTCCCAATTCATCCCATTTGTCTAACCAAGGATCCCCGATGATGAACTGTCCAACCTTGTTTCCCAATTTCTTGAGCTTGGCTCGAATCTCGCCCTCGACGGTCTCTTCAATACCCAATGTCAACATGGCTAGGACTTCCGTCACTGGATATCCCTTGCACCTGACAAATTCTGTGGTCGTGATGATGTAGTGGTAGAGCTTAAGCCATTCGTAGTCATTCTCATTAATCATGTGGGAATCAAGTTGACCTTCTGTCAGCATGTTGAATGACAAGGCAGCATGAAATGTCAATCTTCTCAAATACTGTTTCCAGATCAAGTTGGATCCATACTTGTGAGTGGTGTGAGGGCCCTTTACGATTGAAAGTACAAAATCCTTGCCAGAGCGTAGGAATGCAATTCGCTGTTCCTCACGAGCATAGTCCTCGGCAGCATGGAGTCGCACTTCCACGGTTGAAGGTTTCTTTCTCTTCATCCAGTCTTCAGTTGGAATCCAATCCTTATCTCTTTCTGGTTCAGCATGACCTTGAGATGTTGCTCCGGGTCCAGATCGGAAAGCTGCATGGGTCGACGAAGACGAGGCTCTGCCAGTCGATGATCTTGGCATCTTCTTCGGTTGTACGCTTGAACTTGATGATTGTTGTGATGCCTTTGGCTGTGATCCCTCCGTAGGAGCGGATGTACTCTGGGCACTGGGTCCAGTTGATGTGTCATCATTTACCCATGAAGGCTCCTCATTGTTCCAGAAGTCAACTTCGTCGGGTCTTCGTCCATCTTTGAAGTTCAGGGGGATATCCCAGTCATCGAAATTGTGCATGTTGCCACCTGTTCCAGCTTGAGTATCGGTCAATGATGTTGTAAAATCTTTGAGGGAGCTATGGCAAGCATGACGTTTCTCTTTCTCGGTATATCTGGCCCCTTCATCGGCAATTGAGACGTTGTATCCATGCCCAATCAGGATTCCCAAAGGAATGTCAAAGGCCTTGAGGATCGAGAACTGTAGTTCGGACAATTCTGCTACTCTCGCCAGATTTCCATCTCCTCGGGCGCTGGTCTTGTGTCTCTCAAGGGTCGTGCCGAGGGCTAACAAACACAAGAAATGGTTCTGGGCTGCACTCCTCCCTTTCGGCTGATTGGTTTCAAAAGCAATTACATCCCTCATCACATCCTGCAAGATGATCTGATCTGATGGGTTCTGCTCATTGTGATACCTCAGTGCATGTCCTAGGTGCCTCATCTGGACTTCAATGATGTGCTTCATTGCTTTTCGATAGCTGTCATTGTCAGATGGAGACTTCGGATTTACCTTGGTCAACTCGTCCATGACTTTGAAGTACTCGGCTGTCCTTGTCACAGCTAACCATGATGTGGCACTCGGATCTGTGTTGAATGATGGTGTTCCTCGATAGATTTGCTTCATGCTTCGGATCTTCGCCTCAGTTTCGGCTGCAGTGGCTTGATCATCAAAAGGTTCGGGAAAATGTCCTTTGGTCAATACGATCCAGAGCTCATCAAGTCTGTCATAGATCTCCTTGTCCATGAAGCGTCCCACAGTAGCATCTTCGAATGGGCATCTGCTTGCAAAGACTTTCACGAATCTCGATCCCTTTGATAAAAACTCCCATCCTGAACACCCCTTCTCGATGTCCTGCGCTCTCTGCAACAACTTGTAGGCTACCTCCAGAGCTTGTGCAGTGGCTTCACTGGTGTGTCTGGAGTTTGCAAAGTATGCTGAGTAGACAACTGCAGGCGGCATACCAAACCTAATCCACTGGTTGGCTGTGTCTTCATCTGAGATCAGTCGAAAATTCGAACCTCGGGTGTCTCGGAATGGTGATGGAGTCTTTGCTGCAATGGACCCTTCGGACAATCCCTTCAGCACCCGTAACGCAACGGTGATTCGGCTTCCGGCAAATTGCCCTACTGAGTTCAGATCTTGTGTATCGGCCATCCCGCTTTGTACAGAATAAAGTCGCACGGACCGTAGGTCTCGTGACAACTGTTCGAACAGCGAAAATAGTTGTACGAACCGTAGGTCTCGTAACAACCAGTCGGAGTCGAATTCAGAAAGCAGTAGACACGAAAATGAAAAGTGCCACGATGAAAGAACCGAAGTTGATGTCAATCTCGAAAAGCACCAGTGCAGTAGCGATCGCTCAAACGAATGGTCAATGGCGTCGAGCTCTCGAGTAGCACAAACGGATGTTGCCACCGACTTGATTGGGTGACTGCGGACATTCTCGGAATCACGAGACATTTCAGCTTTCAGTTGTTCATCACATGCAAGCGGCTTCCAACGTTTCATCACTCTGACGTTCACAAATTGACTATTCCTGATTACATGATCATTGATTCCATTCATGATTATCTTGGCTATCCATTTAGTGTAAACTTGAGTAATGCGAGTTTCCCTACCGGCACACTCTGCATGGTCATGACGGCGATCACATCTTCTATGAAGCTTCGGAAAAGACACCCCCCATGTAACAATCTTCCAAGGTTTCTTGATTGGTTTGGGAGTCTCTTGAAATTGTGATTTCAAGCCATACATGCATCCGTCAAATTTGTGTTCATGAGATACGGTTCCTTCCACAAGATCAGTCATTCTACGGTCCTTCCAGTAGTCACAACCTCTAGGCAATTCAAGCAAGGCTGGTGATCCCATGTTGATAAGTTCACTAAGCACTGATGCAAACACTTCCCACATCGCCCAGAAGATCTGCTTCTTTGCTTCGATGAGTTGTGATGTTGCTTCGCTCACCCATCGGTTGATTCGGTTCCATGGTGAACCGCCTGTACATGGACCTGCAAAGAACACTGAATCAAGTTTGGTCCGAAGGCATCGCCTTGCTTTACTGATTCCGTACGGAGAGAGCATGTCGTCATCTTCAGTGATTGGCACGACATGAAACTTCATTTCGTCCTTCATTTTGTTCACGTAAACCAATTTCTCTCTTCCGAACATAACAAGACGAAGCATGGGACTGCTTGAGGAACTTCGATCAAATTGATTGCAAGGGAAAACTTCGCATACTTTGATGTCATCAAGTCACAAGGTGATTTGGAAAATTGAAATTCCAAAGTTCTGTTTTTCTTTTCTCTCCAAAGGATTACCGACACCTTGGGATGGTCAACCTCATGTTTGCCTACTTCAATGTGATATTGATAGGGGACAAAAACATCAGTGATGGGAATAGTATTCACGTCATTGCAATTGGTGCAGAGTGTGATTACTCCCTGACTCACTTTACATTTCTTACCTCCATTGATCATTTCAGCATTGGCGAGCACCTTGAATGTCGATCTTCCTGTCCAAAACTCATTCAACTTGTTTGTTGATTCATGATTGTCGCCCTTGAATCTCCATATGTCTTTGATCACTCGAGTGTTAGTTTTGAACTTTTGTTCAGTTTCCCTCTCATCACATATGATCCTAGGGTCACAAGGACAGTCTTCGCAATCCTGTGGTACAAAGTTTTGCCTTCTTGGCGTTTTGGGAATTCGGATCAATGTCTCTTTCCCATCCCACTGCCAATGGTCTTCATTTTTCTTACCTAACACTTGGGATTTTCGGGTGGATTTTACAAACGGAATGTTGTCACTGATGTCCAATTCCGGATGCGTGCGACATAGGCCAGGTGTTGAAGTGGACTGTGGGTGCCCCTTTCCTTCACCCTCACTATATCCTTCACCCTCACTCCCCCCATGAACAAGGCGCATAAGCGTATTGATCACACGTGTGGCTGGCTGAAGGCACTGGTGGATGGATTTCGGGTGTTGAGACGGTGATGTCTGTGCATCTAAAACCAAGGCATCAACCGAGAACATCAGCATTGGTGAATCGGTCGGATGCTGTACACGGTCATGTGGTGTTGACGCACACGAGTCACGTAGTGAGCTCGAGTGGGCAGGCGGGGCATGCACGTGCTTTGACGACATCACCCGGTGGGTTGAGGTCGTTGAAACGGATTGTGAAACAGTGTCCGGGATCAACGGCTGCTTGTTAGGCGAATGGTACTGAAAACACGCTCGTTCAACCCACTTATCAAATCTGATAGCCTGCTCTGGTGGAGATGCACGGTGTTCGACCTTTGTCCAGGTACCATTGAGAAGAACCCATGTGGATCTCAATACATCTGGCGGCACAATCAGGCCGGGTGGCCTAGGACGATAAAACACCGGTTGCTTGACGACAAAAATGGGATCCATACCTGGCAAGTATTGTAGCTTCTCTTTACTAGTCAAACCCTTTCTATACACTTCTTTTGGCAAAATAGGGGTTTCCGTGTATGGGAAGTTTGGGATGTCCTCAGTTTTGGATTGGAAAACTTGGCGAGTAGTCATATCGACATCGGTGCTTGGCTGCAACATGTCTAATACTTCTTTGCTCTGCAAGTCCTGAGGTTCCAACAAGTTGATTAGCATACAAGCTTTCTTCCATGCCATGGGATTCTTGAATCCTTTAGTATGGATATCGGCTGCCATTTTGGCTGTAATTTCGTAGATCAATACAAAATGATCCTTTTGAAAATGTTCATGCATGGAGGCAATGGAAATACCATGTGTGCGCTCCAAATGACGCATGGTTGGATTCCGTCCTGATCTGACAACACCAATCATACCTTGATTATCGTCAGGAACAGGAGTTGAGGAAAAACTTTGGCTAAGACTTTCCACAGACTTAATGCGGGGATTCCTAGAGTCCTAAGTGCAGTATCTGCAGCCACAATTTCAGCTTCGGGGGTAGAATGACTAACACACCCTTGTCGCTTACTTCCACCAGCAAGTGGGAATCTTGTGAACTTACCTTGGACTTGTAAGTGCGATCCTGAAGTTGATCTCAAGGATTGGGCACATCCAGCGAAATCCGCATCTGCAAATAGTCCTAATGATAAATCTTCAATTTTGTCTCCGACCCATCCTATCATTTTGAGGGACAATGTGGAATTAACATAACACATTAGGTGATGAAGACGGGCGTCATCATCCTTTGTCCATTTAGTCACATTACGTGCTAATGCATTGATGGATCTCAACAGGTCAAACCGCGCAATGCGGGCTGCATAAAGCAGCTTCATCAGCACACTAGCTGCATGCGGAGCTAGATTCCCACGGCTCAGCGTCTCACTGTCTTGCGCAGGACGTGAGTTGCCAGTCTCAGAGAGAGCAGGCATATCTGGATCGAAGGAATGTGCACACCAAGGACACTCAACTTTGCGTTTTCCATCGGAAGGAGCTCGATACGGGCTGCTTTTCGTTTCCTCTGGAAGGCTTGGAGTTGATACCTTTTTCAATTTTGTGTCCTTACCAATGATGTCAAGATACTTTTCCACCGATAACTTTAACAATCCTTCCATGTTATAAGTTATGGTCTTGACTTTCTTACCATTATGCAATTGGGTCTCACCTTGGGATAAAACGCATCCTAAGTAAAGTCCCAGATCGGTTTCGGGTTCAATGCGCAGAACAGTGCGCAGCATTTCCCAACCCTTGGCCAGATTTTCGGAGGGCCCAGCAAGCTTAAGGTCATCCACATAGATTACCAACAGCAATTTGAGCTCATCATGAAAATACATAGAAGGCCATTCCTCTCCAATGGGCTTAAAACCAATTTCTTGAACTTTCTTGTCACAATGTTGTTCCCACATCGTGCCTGAATCAGGGTGTCCATACAGGGCTTTGTCGAGTCTTACGACAGGGCGACGGAACTTCCAGTACTGTATCTCCGGCGGCCATGCATCAGTGGGTAACTCCACCCAACACAAAGGTCCCTTCAACTTAGCCTGGATGTAAGCCTGAATCGCATCTGCCAACTTGACGGAGTGCCCAGGAAGACATCCGTAAAAGTCTGCCCATCGTGAGGCTTCAAAGGAAGCAGGGGAATTTCCCAAGTCTTGGAAGAATGCTGCTTCCCAATGCTGATTCTTCACCTGATTTCCTAGCAGAACGCCTCTTCCCTTGAATTTTCGTCCAGGATTGTCTTCTGACAGCTGGTAATTCTTTTCCACGCATATGCCATGGACTCTGGCCATGTGTACTTCTTTTTTGTTCTTCTTGGCCTCTGCAACAACGTCGTCGTATTCACGAACCATTGTAAAGTCAAATACCTCTTGATCACGAAGGCCTTTCCACTCCTTGAGCATTGCCTCCTTGGCCTTTGGATTAGACTCAATCTCGGCTCTGCCCACAGGTCGTGAAACCATTGCATTGAAAAGTTTGCTTCCAAGACCTCCTGAAGGTATCTTGGTTCGGTGACTTTGACTTGATGCAGAAGTACACGGCATAGTTGGGAATGGAATGTATTCATCATCATCAGTGGCTATGTTCTTCACGTTCTTGACGTTCACACATTTGCCATTTTTGATCATCGTCGACTCTCCTGGCGTAGCCATGGAAAACCTCGAAATCTCACCTGACAATGTGCTCCAAACTTCACCACTCCACGATGCTTTTGGGCCACGTCCTTTCTCGACCTCCGACCATTCATCCCATTCAGTGAGATATTCCTCGTCGTCCGGGACGTCAGTAGAAGCATCGGAACATGGACTAGCATCAGCATTCCTCTTCACTTTTCGACAATCAATGTATCGTCTTCCATGTACATCGTCATCATCGACTATGTCGTACAAATCAAGATACGTACTTGTACATGTGATAGGTAAGGTAATTTTGTTCTTCACAACTTCACCAACACCTGTATCGGATTTCTTTGACTTTGAATGAGAGTCATCCTTCTTACTTTCATCACCACCCTCATCGTCCTTGGACTTTGGCTCGTCCTTGTCTTTCTTTGAATCTTTCTTCTCCTTCTTCGCTGCCTTCTTCTTCTTTTCTTCGACCAATCTTTTGGCTTTGTCATCGGCCTCTTTCTTCTCCAACTTCTTCTTCTCGGCTTTGAGGATGGTATTCCGATCAGATTGAGAGAGTTTGCGCCATTCTTCAGGAGAATAGGTTCCTTTGGGACGCAACGACGTCCTGAACATTCGTCTACCATCATCTCCAATCTTGTATGGGTAACCCTTGACGTTCAACTTGACCTTCTCACCATCGTCATTGAGGTATACCTTCCCATCTCCAGCTTTGCCCTTCTTCCAATGGTCTGGTTGGGCGTCGATCAATTCCTGGAGGGTCATCTCTTCTGGATCTTTGTCTTTGTCGAAGATATCCTCAGGGTCATCAAGAGGCTTCTTTGAAACTTTTCCACCACTTGGTCCAGGTCCACCGTCGTCTCCGTCATCAAGCTCATCATCATCTTCATCTTGGTCATGTTCTTCGTCATCTCCATGAGGCATTTTGGAGGGGTCGCCATCGAGGATTTCTCTTTCTTTCATTCCTTCCAATGTGGTGTTCACCCTCTCATATTCCTGCTTGCATGGAAATGTCAATGGAGTGACCATCTCGACCTTTTCAGTCAAATGAGGTTTGAGAAGACGGTGTTCAGGTTTGCTAGCATCATCACCAAGATTTTGATGTACGAATTCACTCAGAGGCCATACTTTGTATTGTCTTGACCAATGCATCCCTGGACCAATGTGATACCCTGCAAACACTCCTGGAATAGAATCAGGCCCAAACTTGTGAAGTTGTCCCGCTTCTCTGGTCTTCGGAGGCTTGTAGTTCACACGAGCACCATAGGGAATGAGTTTGCCAGCAAATTCAGATCCATGGAGTTTGCACCAAGCGCTCAATTCATCATCGTTGGGTTCCACGTTGAGTAGATGACATACACAAAGGATTGCTGTTCTCCAGAAACAAGGTGGTAATCCAGCTTCCAAAAGACATGTAGAAGTAGCTGTGAGAATAAATTGGTTCGTTCTTTCGGCAATTGAATTGGTTTGAGGTCTTCCAGGTAACGAATGATCAATTGGTATCTTCATCTCATTCATGGCTTCAATGAATTGAGGAGCATGATCAGAGTAGGCCTGTCTGACCTTCTTGGCGCCGATGAACTGTTTCACTGCTCTAACTACATCATCTTTGGTCATTCGATCAGATGGATAAGCACCAATGATTCCTGTATAACAGTCTCTGACAACCAACACTTCCTTCTCGAGGACCAACACGTCATCATGGACTTTGGATGTGTCCACCGCATCAAAGGTAATGAGGTCGCCAAACTTCTTGAGTTCCCTCTTGTATGCACCACGACGAGTCTTGAAGTGCTTCATCTTTGCTCGAATGCATGAGTCGCAATATGGATTCTTGTATCTGTGGGTCAACTTGTGATTCAAGCTATTAGCTTCTCTCTTGAGTGTTCCTCTCTTGGCAACCCTAGATTCACCTTCAACAACATCGATTTCGATGTCATCTTCATCTCCTTCAGCGGCATCTTCAGGAGCACCATGACCGTCATCTTCAAGGTCAGTCTCGTCCCCAGGAGGATCGCCAAGCGGGGTTCCTGGTTCGTACTCGCCGCCCTCAGGTGGTTCTTCTTCCTCTTCTCCAGGAGTTGCCGAATGTTTCTGCCGGTTCATTGTTCTTCTCTTCTTCTTCTTCTTGAGCTTCTTGACATGTCGGGAACAATTGTGATCCTCAGTCAATGTCTCAAGACCACTTTCTCCATCGAGATGTACTCTTCGTGAGGATTGACCAATATTGCTAATAATATCGTCGAAGTCATCGACTCCAATTTGAGAGTGTGTCAAAAGGTCATGGATCTCCGATGCATGATGGCATTCATGAGGAGTGCATTCATATGTTCCAAGATCAACATAAGGAATGTTATCATGGATTGTCAGGTCGATGCGCTCACCATCCTTTGTAATCAAGAAAGGCATTTTACCAGAAGGCCATATAAAGGAGTATCCCTCTTCCATGCATCGTTTCCCAAGAGACATCACGGACGGAGTGTCGTCCAGTACATAGGCATGAGAGGTCACATCAAAGGTTCCCAGGTCAATCTCTGCTTCTGTCTGAGTAGCAGTTGAACCGTTGGCTGTGTGGAACATGATAGGATCACAAGTTCGCTGCTTCAAGTTCATCCTTTCGGCTTTCCTTGCAGAAATCAGATCGTGTCCGCTGCCAGAATCCAGGATGAATCTACGATCTTTGGCTTGCACTGGTAGTGAAATGCACATCACGTTCTTGGACTTCATGAGGGATTTTCCAGCTTCATGTTCAACAAGCTCTTCAATAAAAGTCAAGTCATCATGATTATAGTCCAGTTTGATCAACATGTCGAACTTGGGGCCAATGATGATTCTAACTTCATCAACGAAACGATGGAGTCCACATCTGTCCATGATGATAGCCTTGGCCCGTGCTCGGACTGAACCGAGGGTGTTGTCGGACTTGGACTGATCGTCGGTCAAATCATCAACTTTCCAGAAGACATATTGCTTGTTGGGGTCACGATACATACGTTTGGGTAGTCCCTCCTGGTAGTCCTCAATGGCGATCTCGTGCACCTCAGGTTCCAGATCAAATGAGATCCTGCGATCATCAGAAGACTTCTTTGCACTGGCTATCCTCGGTGAGGTATAATCCATAGAATCTTCATTGTCGCTATCAAAGAAGGAATCAATGGTAATGGGAGTCGCCTTCTTCTTTGGTGTCTTCTTGCTGGTTCTCTCTGAGGATGCTGAAGGCGATTTATCTGCATGCAGGAATTTACATTTGCTTCCGAACTTGCAGGTACCCTCTTGCCAATTCCAACATACCTTCTTTTTGGGTCCAGCTGAAGATGAACTTCCTCTACCTTTCCCTCTTGATGAATCTCTACTTCCGCTTCTGCCTTTCTTACCTTTCATCTTGGCATCATAGACCTTCTGAGAATGACTGTAAAGACATTTGTCACCTTTGTTGCATCCTCCTTTATTGAAGAAGTAGTTACAGAAAATCTTCTTCTTGTCAACGGGTGAAGATGATCTTCCCTTCCCACCTTTGCCTTTCTTGTTGTTCTTGTCGGCATGGGACTTCGGAGAAGGTGTAGGAAGTACTGATGCAGCTTCACTCTTCGCTTTCGCCTTGGGACGTTTGGGAGGATCACCTGTAGACGATGCGGCCGCTTCATTCTCCTTCTTGGTCTTGACGGGAGCGGCAGGCTTGTCTGCATCTTCTAAGGCAGGTGTCGTCTTGTTAGAGGACAATGACAGTTTCACCGCACGTTCTCTATCTTTCAACAGTCGTTCTTGCTTCCCTCGTGCTATGTATCCCTTGATCATACCAGTTAGGTAAGCATAGGTCTTCTCAGGATGCCCTTCATCAAAGGTTTTGTATCGGTTGATATCGAAGGCCATGAGCTTTGAATGTTCAATCTTCCGGAACAACGTGTCACGCAGGGAATTGTTGGAAGGCAGATCATCATGTTTCATGTTGTATACGATGTCAAGCCATTTGTTGTAGAATGCCTCAAGTTGGTCATCTCCATAGTAGTTGAACATATACAAATGATGGGCATTGTAGAGAACTTCAGTGTGGTCAGGTGACTTGAAGCTAATCAATATCATTGCGAATAGTTCTCGTCCCTTGATGAAGTCCCCACTCCTCCCATACAATTGGTTCTTCATGGACATGTCATACTTCACTTGCATGGACTTGTCCCCAGCATTGTCAATGACTTTCCTCAAGGCGTTGGAGAGCTTGGCATCAATGGATTGGAATCTCACATCAGGAGCTTTGGCCAGGGTCTCCAAGTCAGGTTGATCTGCAAGACACGGAGCTAGCCATGCTTTCCAATCTTCATAGTTTCGATCTCCACTTGCAACGCAAACTTCATGAACGACACTTCCCTTCCAGGATGAAAGTTCAGTGGTCTTAGGCCAGGGTTGGAGGCTGATCTTTTCGGCTTCTCTTAGAGATACGGATGACTTAGATCTATCCCTTTCAAGGTTCTCCAACTCCTTGACATTTGTGTTGTACTCGTTCCTGAGCTTCTCGAAGGCTTCAGCTTCTGCTCGATATTCCTGCTCTTCATCATTGGCACGATCTTCAGCTTGAGAGAAATTGTTCTTATAGTAATCTTTACGATCTTCCATCTTCTTCAACTCATCTTGAAGATTTCGAACTTCATTGTTCTTCTCTTGCTTCATCTCGTCCAACTCTGCTTTCAGTTTAGCACACTTCTCTTCACATTCATTCCGAGGCATGGCATTACTGGGGTACCCATGTAATGTAGTCGGTCTATTCATTAATGAAGAAGAATGAGCTTGGTTTTCCAACTTCAGGGCAGCAATGGTGCTCGACATTTCTTCTATCTCAGCGTAACGCTCATTGGCCAGTTGATGCATCTCGGTCAAATGGCTTTCAGGAATGGAATAGTCAGTCGCACCTTTGATCACGAGTCTTCTGTCGTTCAACATCTTGATGGACTTACCTGCATCCCTGTGAGCACGCTCAAGAGAGTCCTTTTGGGCTTCAAGTTCAGTATGAAGGCGAGCAATAGCTGTATCCCTGTCATTGAGTTCATTGTGCAAACTGTCAAACAAGGTACTCGTCACATTCGGATTGTTACTCATGTGATCGATCTTGTTCAGAGCATCTTGATATTTCTTACCAGTTTCATCAAAGTTTCGCTGGAATACTTTGAGCAGGTCCTCAGTATCAACGAGTTCAGATCTAGTCTGCAAGTACAACTTGTCAACTTCGGCCTTGGATTCTTTCAAGCTGTCACGTTCACGCACGGCTTGCATGTACATCTCATAGAGAGGTCCTCCATGCGGTGATCTGCTTGGTGATGATCTTCTGGCTTGTTGACAGGAAAGTTCATGATACTGATTCTTCGATTCAGTCAGTTGCTGTTGCATTCGATCTAAAAGACTTTGTTTCATGTGTAGTTCAGAACGTAGTCCCATTAACCTCATGTCCCGCATGCCGCCTGATTCAGCTAGAGATTCTTCAGATACTCTGTTCTCAGAAATCGCTAGTCGAGATTGTAAGTTCTCACTGTGGATCACCTGCAATCGAAGTTGCGATTCTTCCAAAGCTAAGTGATGTTCACATTCTGCATAACGGTCATGTTCAGATCTTATGTTACTACGGAACTCCTTCATGATCTCGTCCCTCTTCATGTCAGCAGCATCGAGCTCAGTTTCCAGTCGCCTGACGTTCATGGCCATGGTGTGCTTCATCGTCTGGTTCTGATTAGCAACCTCGAGCATCTCGATCTGTAAAGCACATGTCTGGTCGTTAGCATAGCCGACCGCTAGAGCTTCCTGCTTGGGATTCATCTCTGCGTTTTCCAGTTCCAGTCTGAGTTGATTGATGTGAGCGTTCGCATCAGCGCCCACGTGCACCATAATTGCGTTAGCTTGTCCCATTTGTTCATCGAATTCCGAACGTAGTCGTGAATATTTGAATTCCAAATGAGATGCAGCTTCATTCGACATAGTCTGATACCTTTCCAACTCTTCGATCCTGTAGGTCGCACCTTCATCTTCCTGTTGTGCAGCCTGTAACTCGAAGTTCAGCATCTGGAGTTGTTCGGTCATCGACATCATCTCTTGATGAGTGGTGCTTTCCAGGAAATTAAATTGTTGATAGGCATATGCTGTCGTCTCGCTCAATCTTGCCTGAAGTACGGATTCTTCTTCAGTGGCCCTTTCCAGTGATGTCTTGTATTCAGATAATTCACTCTGATAGGCAGTGAAGATGTCGCTACCACTTGACGGGGCGTTCACTTGCTGATAAGATCCTGTCCCTGATGGAGTAGCGTCCTGAATCGGTGAAGGCGGATTCGACGACGTAGTCTTTGCCTTAGTCCTTGGAGTCATCGGAGGCGACAATTGTCGTGCAGATGATCTTCTCTTTCCAGGTGTGCTGTCCCTATCTTCAATTGCTTGCATTGTCGAAATTTGTCTCCCTCTAGGAGCAACCAGAGGTCGCCTGGGTAGGCTTGTTCTCAATTCTGAGGCATCGCTTCCACCAGTGTCGATACTCTGTGAAGAATTTGACTGCGTGCCGGCAGCTGGTGCAACGGCATGTCCAGAGAAAGAAAATGCATTATCGCTGCTATCCTGTTCAGTCATCTGTAAGGCCCGCGGCTACCCGCTCGTAGGCTCCGTAGGAGTCCTACGGCTGATAACCTGCGAATCGGTGTTTGTTTGTCCGATTATGTCCTGATAGTCAATGTCAAAGTAGACGTTCCAGTGATGACGTTACAAGGGCATCAGCTTCTGCATTGCAATTGTTTTCTCTGACGCTGCAGTGGGTCTTGAGCCAAAAGGGCGATTGTCACAACCCTTTGGCTTCGAGTCTTAGAGTGAATTATGTGATAATGTACATTGGTCCGTAGCTTACACTCTATTCGCAATATATATATATATATATGTCTATTTGTGTATATATATATATATATACATATATATATATATGTTGATGTATACATGAATATGTGTATATTAACATATGTCGCATTATGTTCCCATTCTAATCCATTTTTTCCCATATAGGATTTGTGGAATGTCCCATCATCTTCAGACACAGAATGAGCCAAATGAAGATGTCCCATTATACCCCGATTAGATTATATCATAAAATTATCCCTATTGCCCTCCGGCAATCAAACATGGCAATGGGAAATTCCCTGTATTTGGAGGATAATCAACTATAGATGGTGGATTTTCCAGCTAGCCATGTTTGATGACATGAGGCTAAATCCCGTAGTCCCTTCCCGTTGGTTTACAGGTTCCAGATGCCCCCAGTAACTGGGGCACCACCTTGTAGTCCAACTGTTCATGGCAAAAAACCTTACTGGTAAGTGTAAAGACTGGGGAGAATGATCTCTGATAACTATTAACTATCATCCCATTCCATTAAAAATTCCCTTCGCACTTCGCACCAGGAGTTGGTTTAAAATAGTCATTCATTGTTTTTAGCTGCCATAAACCTACTCAGATTTTTTTCATGGTACAAAAATCAGCAAAAATGCCACGAGGTGATAATATAACTTTCACCACCCAAGGTGCCACCAGGAAGACGTGGGGTCCCAAGTTCTCGGCCTTCTCGGCCTTCTCGGTCTCCAGTTGAAGATTGGCCACCACCACGCCCCAGTCCGCCGCCAGGCCTTGAGAAATCCTGCGATTTGCTGCAGCTGTTGATGAAATTGTTCATCATCCTGCCTGTGAAAATCCGAGTTTTTCGTGATCTTGTGAAACAAAAATATGCTGTTTTTTAGATTCGACTTGGACCTTAAGGAATCCAATTCGATCCAATTTGGTAGTTCAATAACGTTCATCGTCTTTGACCCTGCGCTCCAGGTCTTTTCCGCAGAAACCGAGGGCGTGTGCAGGTAGAAGCCACCTGCTGGGGGTGATGAGAAAACATGGAGGAAAAAAACGGTGGAAATATGTGGGATGTAACAACGAAAATTGGAGACGTCACCAACAAATATGCTATATCTATAATATATATATGTATATATATATGTATATATGTATATATGTATATATGTATATATGTATATATGTGTATATGTGTATATATGTATATATATGTATATATATGTATATATGTATATATGTATATATGTGTATATGTGTATATGTGTATATATGTATATATATGTATATATATGTATATATGTATATATGTATATATATGTATATATATGTATATATATGTATATATATGTATATATATGTATATATATATATTCAATGGATTGAATCCGCCACCTTATTGGGGATTCGACACGGAATGTGCTAGTCCCCCAATGCCCTTATATAACATGCATGCCGTAACTAACCATTGGGGGTTAGAAAAACATCATCCCGAGTAGGGGACTGGCTCCTGGGTTTACCACAAAAAAACACCGATGCAGCCAGGAAAAATAAATTCAGGGCTCATAAATCACTCAGTGGTAAAAACGAAAATGATGTTCAGTTGTATTTAGAAGTGCAACCAGGCCCAAACGAAGCTGAAAAAATGAACATACATATACTATAGATGGATAAAACAATGATAAAAATGGATGAACATAAGTTTTTCAAAGCAACAAAATGGGTAGATCATGACAATAATGAGCCCTTTTACAATCGTCCTGAGCAGCGCCATGCCATGCCATGCCATGCCTCCATTCTCCCAGCTCCATGTGGCAGTGGTCTCCACTATCAATCCGCTCAAAACACCTGGGATCCCAATGGATGCCACCTGGGCGATGCCTGGGATCCGACTGGGATCCGATCCTGAAAAGAAGGGATCCAATGGGACAAAAATAAATTCAGCGTTTGTTGGGTCGTACGCCAAATTTGTTTTTTAATGTTTTTTACCCATTCGAAAATTTCGAAAACCCCTAGTTTGTGAGTGTGAAAATAGACAAAACGCGTCCACTGGTCAATCCTCATTTTTCCCCAACATCTTCACCAAAAAGTGGGACTCAGTACCCTCAAATTGATGATCATCAGTTTCTACAAAAGAAATGCAATCATTGACAAATGAGAGACCACCCCAGGCCTGCACCAACCTCTGTGAGCATGAAGCATCCCAACTGGCCCAGCTTTTGGGACTGTTCCAGCCAACGACGCTGCTGGTCGTTGCCCAGGGCAAGCACCGTACCGCAGAAGAGGTTGTAGTGCACCTCAAGGGTCAAACTGTTGGCAGTTGCCGGGAATCATGTTTTGCTTTATAAAATTGAAAAATGATAGGATTATTATTGTCCCATCTAAAGTGGTTTGATGGGATATAATGGGGATACAATGGGGATATAATGGGTTGATTCTAATGAGTAGTTTCGTCGTTGTATCATCAAAGGTGTGATGGGTCAAGCAACCAGAAAAATCTTCATTGAAACAACACAAGCACAGTTTCTGCAGGATTCATAGGGGGCTGCCCTAGATGCCGCCATGGAGCTGTCATGCGAATTCCCAGGCAGCATGATAGGCACTCCTCGAGGTTTCTCGCATTCTCCATAGGTACTTTGGACTAGAACCCCAGCGGACCAGCGGACTCCCAATAACATCCAATAACTATAGTTATACTCTCTAAAAATAAAATGATAGCAGAACTACAGGAACCCATCCCTGGACGCCTCATGGGATGAATTCACTCAAGATACGCGTCATCAAATTGTGACCGATGCAGTTCCTGGGAAGTTCCGTGAAATACATACCATATCCAACAGTTAAACCCACTACACTGGCCGGTGGTTTCGAACATTTTTTATTTTACTCTCTCGCTGTGGGGTCTTAATGTGAAGGGGAAAATCGTTTTTGCTGATAAAACCCAATTGTACGCCTGATGTTGCATCCTCATCCTGGCGAAATTGCTTAGGGACCTTGAATTCCTCAGTGTGGGATTTTTTTTTGTTTGTTGCCATTGCCAACCATATCCGCTTCCACAAATGATCGCCATGAAGTCAATGAAAACTTGTTGGCGCACACGGAACTGAAACATGAACACCCAAAACAGCATGCAAGAAAGTCTTGCTTGCAAGTATGGTGTTAACCGCCACTGACGCACTCTTACTGACGCTCTAACTAGCCTTTTATCTGATATATAGATTGAAGTTCCATGTGGCATACATACTGACAGTCTAGCTGACCAATATTTTCACGTTCTATCTAGCATCAATGATGACACTCTATCTCAGCAAATGTGCTCACAGTCTATCTGGCATATGTTCTGACATTCTATCTGCCGTATATTTTCACAATCAATCTGGCATTCTATCTGATCTACCTGGCATATGTTCTAGCATTGGCTAATATATATATAGATATAGATATAGATATAGATATAGATATATATATATACACACTGGCATTCCGTCTGACATATGTTCTGCCATTCTATCTCGCATTTGTTCTGGCATTCTATGTGGCAAATGTTGTGACACGTGTTATCAGACCTGTTTTCAAAAGGCTGGTTGACATATAGTCTGTCATTCGTTCTGACATATGTTCTGACATTCCATCTGGCATATGTTTTGACATACATTCTATCTGACATCTTTAAACAAATATTGACATTCTATTGCTCTAACATTCTATCTAACATAAATTCTGCCATTCTATCTGGCATGTACTTTCACGCTCTATCTAGCATTGTATCTGACACAATATTTGACATATCTTCTGGTAGGCTATCTGACATATTTACTGACATTCTATCTGGCATATATTCTGGCATGTCTTCTGGTATTGTATCTGACATATCTTCTGGCATTCTATTTTGTAAATGTTTTGACAATACATTCTATCTGAGTTATTGAATGACACGCTACTTGGCATATATTCGGATAGTTTATCCGTGGCATTATTTCTCACATGCTATCTGGCATATGTTCTGACATGCTATCTGACATATTCTCTAGCATTCAGGTGTAGCTGTACATGGGTTCGGGTTCGGTGTTTCCTGACTCAAACCCCGCCAACTCCTCGCCATGCTCTTCCTGTGCACATCTCTCGCTGATGTGGCACTCTGTGCGCTGTGCTCTCTGTGCGCGTTTCTGGGTGTGCATGTATGTTCTCCTCCTCTCTCTCTCTCTCTCTCTCTCTCTCTCGCGCCCAGAAACCTCTGCTAAAATCTAGACATCTTCACCAGGCAGGTGGGGAACTAGAAAACTACACGCAGGGCAAAATCTGCACTGTTTCTGACAAGGTGCACGCACAACTCCTCGGCAAACAGAGCCATCATCTAAGCAAGCTTGGTAAGAGACATCTCTCCAAGGAGCTCGGCCTAACACCACGTGTTGTTTCAGGGAACAGAATCAATGCCAATGCTTTTTTGATCAATGCCAATGCTGCATCTATTCGGGAAACCGGCTTCTTTGCTGACTGGGCACTTTTGTCATCTGTGGAAGCACGTTTCTCGTCTCGAATCAGGTCAACGAAAATGTTGATCATATTTAAGCAGGCTTCTCTGGTGACTGCCTTGGGGTCTGCCGTGTCACAAGAGACAAAACTGTCTGTGGAGCACAATTCCTGCAAAGAACGCAGGCTGAGCGAAGTACTTGTCACAGCTTTCCACAAGCGAAGCCAATCGCTGGCTTGCGGCACGCCACTCTTCAGCAAATGAGCATCCCAATCTGACAAAAGGGAGCCAGCGTGGGGTTGCAGAAGCTTTGCCAAGCAGTTTTGTGAACCTCACTGCAAGAATGGAGGCGAGTCGCGCTGCTCTGCATACTGGCAACCTCTTTGATGTCAAATCTGCCCCATTTGGTGCAAAAACGTTTCGGTCGGCTCCTGCCTTTGCTCTCTTGAAAGGTTTGCCAAAACTTAAACCAATGGCAAAGAGAGCACCCCATGCCACCCGTGCGCCATTCAAGCCAAACATGTCTCCGACACGGGCCGCCAACATGAGAGGGTAGCAAGTGGGAACCAGGACCGCTTTGCCACCGGTGGCCAAATCGACGCCACAGATGTTCTGCAGTGACAAGTGGCTTCCCTGCAAACTGAGCCTTTGTCATTCTTTGTCTCTTGCACTGCCAAAGGTTTGGACACCTTCTTCCTGTTCACGGGTTCAGCCTTTGCATTTGGAAGGCCTTGCTTCGCAAGAAGCAAGCAAATTTGGACGGCATGACAGGCCCTGGGGCCTAGAACCAAGCAGAAAGTCTCCGGCCAAGAAAGTTTCCAGCCATATGTCAATAAATTATCGCTGTTTAGCGCCAAACAGCGTGGTAATGTCAACATCAATTGTTTCGACCGTTGCCTCACAAACAACAGGTAGCCCAGCAAAGTTAGTTCAAGAACCATACTGTCAAAACTTACACTAGCGGATGGCACCAATCACTGAGGTAATGGACTGCTTGAAAATACCATGCCTGATTCATGCTTTTCACCTCAGAAAATCTCTGTCCAATTCTGGTGGCTGAAGCAAGACACAAGTCACACGTGTTTTCTCTAGATTGGCTTGACTGTTGGATATCCGAAAGCATACTTAGAAATCGCAAATGCTGCCGGGAACATGCAGTGCCGCATGTCCTCCCCATGTGACAACGAGGACGTCATTGTCACGCCCATCCAGCAGCCGCATTCACAGGACAAAGGGTGGCATTGATTTGGCCAACAAGAATTGATACTTCACATGAACGTCTTGGTTGCCTTGGTCTTACTAAAAGCAGCATGCTTTCTTTCTTCCCCTTGTCTTTTCGCGGCGCGTGTCAAAGCAAAAACATCCGAAGCGAAATACGTGCGCAGCGTGGCACTAAGCATCACGGAGCTAGCAAAACGTGCGTGAAACTTATATTATTTCACACACGACGACAAAAAAAACAAATCACATGGATTCTCTGGAGACCAAAACGCTCGAAACATAAGCTGTGCATACTGCCAAGTGCAAAACAAACAGAGCAACAACCTGTCCGGAGGCTCCGAGATCCTGCTTTCCTGGCTTCGGCTCCCCTGAGCCCAAGCTCACTCCACGGACACCGCAACGTCCCCATCCCATGGAGAAAAAAATAATTCAAGAGTGGCCGGCTGCTTTAGAATCTTCAGCACTTTGCGCAATCCAAGTTTCAATTTCGAATATTCCAAGATCTTGACATGCCGCTGTTGTCGGTGCGGAAACTTGGATTTCAAACCCTTCCTTTTGGTTCGCTTTGTACAAGCCTGGTCTTCAACAGACCTCATCGTCGCTCCAGAAAGTGGAACCTGTGACCCGGCAGCACCATTCTGATGTTTTGACGGCGTGCGGCGCATTGCATATGATGTCTTGCATCCTAAACAACATATTTTGCATCGAGTGATCCACACCTTGGCAGTCATTTAGAATGAAGCTCTGACACTTTATCCTCAACTCTCCTGGCAAACTAACATGTTTTTGACATTTTTTGTTGCACAAATTCTGACATGATATCTTGCATTCTATCTGACTTTCTTTCTTGCTTTCTTTCCGGCATTCTATCTGGCATGCAGACTGACGTTCTATCTCGCATTGTATCTGGCAAGCGGTGGCAATTTGCCACTTCGTTTGGCTTCTCTAAAATGTCGAAAACTGACCCCTTCAACTCCCCGAAAAGCGGTCCTTTTCCGCGTTTTTAAACGATTTTGTCGACACGTGGGGGGTCACATTTCAGGACCCTAAAAAAGTGGAAAATCAGCAGCAAGCGGTCTGACATGCTATTTGATACTCTGTCTGACGAGTATTGTGACCTTCTACTCTATCTGGCAAGCTATTTAATATATATATATATATATGTGTTATATCGTGTATATATATATATATTGTATTATATATATATACAATGTGGGGCCCCCCAGTTGTAAGTTGGTTTATAAACCCCATTAACTATAGTTAGAAGTACCATGGACCATAGTTATTGGAGTTATAAACCAACTTAGCTATCTTGGGGGCCCCCACATTGTATACTATATATTATGTATTATATTTATATATTCGCAAGTTTTCTCGCAGTTATCCTGGCATTCTGTCTAGCATATATTCTCTCATTTTACTTGACACTGTTTCTGACGCACAGTCTGAATAGGAAAATCTATCTGGCATATAGCCTGACCTTCTGTTGACGTGCAGTTTATCTGACATTCGTTCTGGCATAAAACCTGACATTCTATCCGGGATTGTCTCTGGTATTTATTACAGTCAACAGTCTATAGCTGGCACAATGTCTGGTCTACAATCTCCCATTTCACCGAACATTCCTTCTTACATTTTATATTCTGATATTCTCTCTGGAATATACCATGACCTTCTATCTATCCGGCATACATTCTGGCAATTTATCTGACCTTCTGTCTGACATATGTTCTGACATTCTGCCGGAAATTCTGCCTGGTAAAAAACCGGACACTTTATCTGACCTTTTTTCCTGGCAAACATTCTGAGATTCTATCCGGTATGACGTCTGACATTCTATCCTACAGACTGTGTGGCATACATTCTCATATCATATCTGAGATGCATTCTGACATATGTTCTATTCTGACATTCTACGTGGAATATAGCCTGACTTTCTATATGGTAGCCTCTCTGGTATATGATGACTGTGTTTATCTGACATTCCTTTTGACAGCTATTCTCAATTTTTGTGGCTGGTTTCCGGCTGAATTTCAAGCTCGCTATAGGGTTCGGATCCTGGGTCTGCGTGTCCAGCCGGATCGGGATCTTGCAATGATGTTCGGGAAGTGGCTGGTGTTCGGGCCCGTGGGTGCCCACCCAGATCAAGAGCTCACGATAGTGTTCGGGATCTAGCTGATGCTCGGGCCCATGCACGCCCACCCAAATATGGAGGTCGCAGTGATGTTCGGGATCTAGCTCAGGCTCTGATAAGAGTTGCGGAAAAAGATCGGAAGATTAGCCGGACATGCTGGAACATCCAGATTTGACTAATATGTTTCAACGAGGTCCTTTGCACCAACCAGTCACCATCACTGGTCTTATATACCCCTATGACTTGGTAGCTTAAATCATCACCCACTATCAGTAGTACCGCGCAAGGCGGTGGCGATAGGAATCTATATAGGAGAGGTGAGCTGTTGTGATGCCTGGCTGGCAGAACGAACCCGCTCACGGAGCGACAGGTGGTTGGCTCTGAGTATGTCTCTCTCGCTCCGTCTCTCTCTCTGTCACCTTCTCTCTGTGTCTCTCTATCTCTCCCTCTGTCTATCCATCTGTCATCATCTGCCTATCAATCTATCCATCTATCTATCTATCTTTCTATCTATCCATTTCTCTGTCTATCTCTCTATCTCTCTACCTATCTCTCTACCTATCTATCTATCTGTGTATCTGTCTATCTGTCTATCTCTCTACCAGTATCTGTCTATCTCTCTATCTATCCATCCATCCACAGCGGCGTGCACTTTTTCGATATCGGAACGTCCAAAAGTGGAACGAACATGCTGTGTTTTTAGATGTTTTGAGCATGTTGACTTCCAAATGTGCTTCGCGCCGAAATGCGGTGCACTTTTTCAACATCCCACCTTCCAAGAGTGTTCCGAACGTGGTGCTTTGCAAATGTTGACTTCCAAATGTGCTTCGCGCCACAACGGCGTGCACTTTTTAAGCAGCTCAAGTGACAAAAGCGCTCCGAACCCGCAGTGTTTTAAACATGTTCGCTTCCAAACGTGCTTCGCGCCACAACACTGTACACTTGTTCAACAGCAGAACTTCCAAAAGTGCTCCGACACTGGTGTGCTTTGCGCGCTTTGACTTCTACGCGTGCTTCGCGCCACATTGCGTGCACTTTAGACATCTCAACTTCCAAAAGTGCTCCGAGCATGAGGTGTTTTTACCAAATCTGCTTCCTGCCACAGCGCCGTGCAATTTTGGATCTCTCGTCTGACCAGATGGCTCCGCACCCGCCGCTTTAGCGAGCCTACTTTTCGAGCCTCCGGAGCCACAAAGTATTGGAAATACACAGTTTCGCGACTTTTCTACCTTTTCGAGCACCTTGATCTTCTTTCTTCTGACTCTCTCTCTTCTTTGATCTTCTTTCTTCTCCTTGCTCTTCTCTGACTCTTCCCACCTCTGCTGCTTCATCTGTCCATACTGTCGGAAGTTTTACTTCTAAAGTAAACTTCTTTCGACCATGTATACCCAATATACAAAGGGTGAAGGGTACAATAACCCCCATTTAGTTGCATGATGTTCCCATGCACAATATAGATGCCCATTTAGGTCGCGCATTTGACAATGTTTGACACCAAAGGGGATTGGTTGTGAACCACATTTTAGTGTTATATCCCCCTGTCTACTACCCATCTACCGGACGCAATGGAAGCGCGTCCTGATGCGCCAACACACGATGGCTCGCAAAGAAGTCTAACATGCCGTCACCTCCGGGGGCACGCGGTGAGTGTACAGTAGGCTTTACTTGGGCAGTTGGTGGTATTTTATGGTAAAACCCATGGGTACAATCGTAATAATAGTGCATGTTATATTTATAATGGGGGATTCATGGTTAAGTAATATACGGTAACCACATTTAAATATACGGACTTTTAAATATACGAACAGGTATTTTAGACTACCTCGGGAAAGGTTTTCCTTGGCCCGCCCGGCCATTTAAACATACGGAATCCACTTCATTTAAACATACGGTAACTACATTTCAATATACGAACTGGTATTTCATACTACCTCCGGGGCCTCGCGGTCTGGCCCGCCCTCCACATATTTAAATGTCGTTACCGTATATTGTATGTATACAGTGTACAGGCTGAAACCCAGTTCGTGAGTTGGGGTGGTTTCAATGGATATGAATGATGTAAAGATCATGGAATTATGGTACTTACTTAATTATATACTATAAGTTGGGATAAAGCCGCTACGGGCTATGACTATGATTGTGGTTATATTGCTCACTGATTGCTTCCAAGTAGTGGTGTTTGCTATTCTGCGTTTAAGAAATATGAATCTCGTGGAAGGGCCGCGAAGATACTGCATCTAAAGGACCACCAATTCGGTGATGTAGCGATATCAATGGCCAATAATTAATGCATAACATCTGCACAAACTTCTCATAAATTGGCATCAAATTGTAGCTGACAGGAAATACGGAATTTGTTTGCAGAGTTTGGACATATATTATGACTTCGGCTAGTGATTGTTTCTTCTACATGTTTTTCTTGGATAGCGTACATATATATAATATATATATATATTATGTTTATTATGTACGTATCTCTTGTCTTGAGAGTCTCACAAACAACCAAAGCACATCACAGAAGCCAACACGTGCAAAGTCTGAAGCAAGATACCTCAGCTTTCTTCCTGAGGGAAAATCTTCCGATCTAAGTCTCAGACTGCTGGTGATGCTGTCTAAGTTCAGGTAGCCTCCTGCGATTCCACAGGTGATTAATTAATATCTCTCTTAATGCCCGTCTATATACAGGGGATTACCGAGGGTAAGTGGAAAACGAATACAGAAAAGTGCCAGACCATCTTCGTGAAAGCCTGGGGCAAGTTGTGTCTTCCAACTTTTCTCTCCCCCAGCCCCAAGCATTGATGTGTTGGTTCAAAAACGGCCTTGGCTATGGCCGGATGACATGGAAACAGTGTACCATTGAAATGAGAAAAAATAGCACTTATGGAGAAACAAGAACGGTTCGATAAGACTGTTTCTAGAATGGCTGCAAATGGTTTAAAGAAAAAGGGTGTCTAATTCTATCTCAGATTGTCGCAGAATAAGATAAAACCAAAATCGCCCAGTAAAAAGGAAACTACTAAACCATTTTTGGGGCTGAATGTTGAAGGAGAAATATCGCAGCAGCATGGAGCATATCTTTAATAGACCGCGAATAAACATCAACCATTATACACCATCATCAAACATGATAGGGGCATCATCTGTCGTTATAATCCACTAACCCATTAGAAACTACTAAATCACGTACTATAGCCTAATAGTAACTATATAGTAAACCATTAAAAACCCGAAAAAAAAAACCCTCTGGTTATGACATTCACAGGTTGCTATGGTTTTGCGCCATGGCCCATAGAAATCGATGGTGGATCTTTCCATGGCCAGACCTCGGAGGAGAGCGCGCAATTGCTCCGAATGCTCTGGCCACGGGGCATTCTCCTCAGTGAAGCTCACTGATGGCCGATGATTTTCTAGGGAAAAAAGGGTGGAAAAATGCGTTGAAAACTTGGGTTTATGCCACCCTTCATGCGGTTTTCCCTACAAAATACGATGGAACATCAACATGGACGGAAAGGTGAATAAGCTATAAATGGGCCATGACTACCATACCAGAGGTAAACGCAGTGAACCTCAAACTTGGGGATGGTTTGGGCTTAAGGTCTTGCCTCACTATATAATATTATAGTAACTATAGTATATTTTATAGTATATTATATTATAATATTATATAATACGATTATATACAATTATCATTCCAGCCATGACAAAAAGTGAGTCACAACTGGGGTGACCTGTGAGAGACACGTTGTGGATACACACATTGGCCATCTTGAACTCACTGAGTGAACTGCTGGATATTCCAACAAACCCCGACGCTCGCGGAACTAACGGCGCGCTCGCGGACCAAGACTCATCAGCCTTGTTGCAGGTGATGGACAAAAACCTTTTCATCAAGTTCTCCTCTCGTCCTGGGTGGATGGTGGATGTAGATTTCCCCCATATCCAGCCGCCGCTTGAATTCATAATTCCACAATGCAAACAAGCGACGTTGGAGGCTATCATACCTGGGCTGCTGTCATTGTAATCTCTAAGGTTTTAAATGCTGCTAAACGCACTTACCTAGAAAGGTGGAAAATTGAAGCTCATCACAAGCTCAAGTCGTATCTTCGCTGTGTTTTGATTGGTGCTTTCAACCCATCCATTCCATCCATAACTTGATTCGCGGTTTCAACCGTTTCAACCTACTAAACAAAGCATAAACATATTGTAGCCACAGTCACCGTCCTGTGACCCTTGTTTTCGCCAAGCAACTGTAGCTTGCTGGCTGCCAAGGAACTGGGATCCTCAGTCCGCCACGATTTCATCGTAGCGTCGGGAATGATCATGTCATAGGAAAAATGTCCATGTTTTTATCACCAAAACTGTTGAATCCATTGTTCTGAGGGTACAAAAACCCTACTGCAGGTGCGTTTCTCTGAAAGTGACAAAGGTATACAAAGGTGATAAAGGTGAGGCATGAATTGTAAATGAACAAGCATGGATTGCACCAGCATAATGTTCACCAGCAGGTCTTGATAGGGAAAAAAATGAAAAAAGAACTGTGAATCTTCTTCTGAAGCGATCAAGTCTTTTCTTTAAAGTCAGCCTCCATCTGTTACAGCGCTAATCTAGTGATCTCGCTTGTCGTGTGCATACCAATGCGTCGGATTCAGAAGTGTCACAGCATACTTCACGCAAAACGGCATGTCATGTAAGCAACCAATCACATCTATCATCATAGTTCATCATATATCCTTCCTTTCTTCCCCAACGGTGCTCCCCTGCATGTCCACATTTCCATCACTAGTTTCAACAACAGCAGCCGTGTGCAGCCGTGTGCGGATCCGCAATCCCTCCATGTTTGATGTGGAAATTTACGGATTTCATCCCATTCTATCCGATTGACCAAAGAAATCGAAGTTGAGATTTCGCCATTTAAACAGGCGAAGAGTTTTAAACATGGTCCTATGGTGAACATGGCTCATCCGGCTCCGCTCATCCCATCAAGACACCCACATCGCTGGAAGCTCCTTGGGGTCTCTCTTCAGTCGCGACCATGGCCAGTGGATGGTCTCCCAATACAGCAAGGCCTGGATGAATAGCAATGGAGAGAATGCTACGTTCATATCGAAGTGAACATATGTTTTTGCTGTTTTGACTAGATAGTCATAGAGAGAATATCAAGATTGATTTAAAAACATGTGCCTTGTAGGCTTGAAATCAGTATGCGTTGCCATACTGGCTGATTATCACACTGTTTTTTCATGGCAAAACGGCAGTGTCTTGAGTGCAGCTGTACTCAGAGCTGCGCCTGAGTCGAAGCGATGATTGCAAAGGCCTCACTGCAATCGCTTGTCCGAGATCATTTGCTTTGGGATCACGCATCAAAATGCTGAAAAAACCAGTGGTGCTCCCCACACAGCAACAGCCCCTTTATTTATTGGGAGGCCAATCAAAAAATTGGACCCTGGGAATTGAGAAATTTCTTCAGCTTCAGTTCTGCCAGGAATGAGAGCCCAACGGTGACGAACGTACTGAAGGCCACTGCAAAGCATGCCCAGATTGGAAGTAGAGCCTGAGCGAACGTACTGGAGACATCTGTAGACGCAGTACATCACTGTATCACTGTACTGTGATGGGGATATGATCAATGGCCATTTCAGGATCCTAAATTTGAGGTACCTACCATATATATAAGGCCTATATAAGGCCTATGTAAGGTATGATGGATGAAGGCTGTCCCGTATACTTTCCGCCCTAAACTTCCCATCCCCACTGGCTAAACGGGCGCAGCCCAGACGCCAAGACGGTGGACAGTGGGGCCTGGCAACGGGTACCGGGGACCGGTGGATGGTTGCGACATCCTGCACCAGGTATATAACTAGTGGTAATGGGATTAAAGTGGGATAAACCATTTACCAACTGGATTGTATTGGATTGTAGCTTACTCACCTGTATGAAATGATGGTGGGATATCTGAGTATTAAGATGAACCCAAAACAACTCAGAATCTGATGTAGCATGGTGTACTTCGAGCTGGGAGAACTTCATGATAGTCTGAAAAGCTGTGCTTCACATTTCTAAGCCTGACTTGGCACTGGCAGATCTGGCAGGCTTTTGTGGTGTCCACAATGGTCCACATCAACCCTACACCATTGACGATTTGACGCGTCTCAAAACAGCAAAAATCACAGGAAAAACCAAGCGATCCATCCAGATGCACCAGTTGTGACACGTATCTCAGTGGGAAAAAAAAACATCATTTCACCATCAACATTGCTCAAAATTCTGGATGTATCCCCATGTTCATGCACCCATATCATGTATACATTTCATTGTATGCCCCTCATCATCATGTGTGTGTGTGTATGTGTATGTATATATATATATATATATGTATATATATATATGTATATATATATGTATAATATGATCGTTGCTAGAATCCCTTCCCACGCATATTCAATACCCCCCGAAACGAAACCCTGGTTCGGGGTTAGGCCCTTTAGGCTCTGTTCACTTTGTCCCGAAAAAATGGGGGGAACATTTTCTGAAGATGTTGGCGGGATGGGGGTCAAATTCAGCCCCCATGGCAGGGACACCTCCTCAGCCTCCAATCCGGGCCACGCGCTGGGCTCTCTCAACATCCATTGCTCATCCATGGCGGCAGGACGATAGATGGTTTTGGGAAATGCGGATTTTCAGGAAATTTGCCACGATAGTATGGAATCGCCACATAACTATGGAGCAACTCACTGGGTAGCCAAAAATCCCTAGAAATGAGGTGACTTGGTACTGAAAAGATCTGAAAAGACTGACTCTTCTCCAGTTTTTGAGCACAAGCTACGTCATTCGGTCAAGATTCCATCTAGGATCCCTTTAGGTAAAAGCTTGCAGCTGCCCCCTTAGCGAAGACAATTCCTCTCCGCTCCACAATTCGCTCCAATGAGTCCCGATCCATGTAGCTTCACACGCCAGTGGCTTGACTCCGCGCGCCTCCCAAAAGGAACCCTGGCTGTTATCCAGTCCAGGGAGAGTGCGATTGTCTTTCACCTCGTCGCAGGACACCCAACCCATCCAATCCCCTTCCCCAAGTTTGTTAAAAAAGGTCCCGGTGAAATCAAGTGGTGTACCGCACATTTTCATGACCAACCAAGATCCAACAAGGATGTTGTTTAATGATGTTTCACGGTTGTTACTGTGCTTCACTGGATGTTTATTGGATCTTTGGTGTTTTCATATTTATGTGCTGGTTGGATTTTAGGGATATGGATGAATCAAAATACGTCACTGTCACTAAACTGAAATAAGGCAAAAAAACTCGCTTACATTGGGATACCCTCTGGTAAACGTTTACATAACTATGGAAAGATCCACCATTTTTAATGGGAAAATCCACTATTTCTATGGCCATTTTCAATATGTTGACAAAACCAGAGGGATAATTCGACTGACAGTTCTCCCGGTGACGAAAAAAGCCGTGCTGGCGCCTGCCGAGCACTTTGCGGCCACGGGGGCGCTGTGGTAAAGACATCCTTGGAGAGACGCGGCAGCACCTGCGCCGAGGGACTGGAGGTGGTAAACCGGAGAAACGGTGGGCGGAACCACATCTATGTTCGCTTTACGAGAGTCGGACGCCCTACGGAATGGGAATATTTAATGGAATATTACATATATATATACGTATATATATATATTAATATATAACCATAGATTTATTATTTATATGTATATTTATGCAGTGGGTATATTAACTTATAATGCAATGTTTATCCTGGAATATATCATGTGTAGATTCCATGGGAAAACTCGCTCCATTTTTTTACTAAGAGTTTCTTGTGGAAGCCATGGCCAATCTGGGGTTGCGAGGTGGCTGTGCCCAAATGCGTTTCCCTGTGCCCAATACTTCACCGGTAATATCGAATATTGTACAACAGCAACAGTCAGTATGATAAAGGCAGAACAAACACCACTGATCACCACTGTTCTTCTTGCTGAAAAAACACTTATCTTTGGCAGACACTCTCATTTGGGATCATCTAGGACATCTTTTGTGGTGCTACAGATGTTTGTCTGTCTGAGACCTTCCCATTCCTTGACCCAAATTGGTTGATGCTGATGGTAGGGAGTCTTCAAATGGACCCATCATCCAAAATACTGATCATGTTCCCATATGTTCGCATGAAACCATTGGTTTTCCATGGGTTTTCCCCACCTTTTGAAGGATTTTTGGTGCCAGGGGAACCCGCTTCACCGCAACCTCCACGTTCCCCTCACCCACGGGGCACTGGTGGGACTGCTGGCCGATCTGGTCGATCTGGTCGATCTGGTCGATCCGACATGGGGTTTGGCCCGCTCCGCCCTGGCCGAGATGAGGGAAACATATGGAAATCATCAGATTCATCAGGTATTTCTAGTAAATAACCATAGTAAATAACCATATGGATGTTTCCCAAACTAGGGATATGATGGTATAGCTATATCATAATAGATAATCAATGGCTATAGAATGGGGATTTCCCAAAACGATACATAAACAGATCATAAACATATCATGTTTACATGCAAAATCTTGGGGATATGATGGTATATTAGTATAGATTGATATAGATTGTAGGCGTGTTTTCGTCTAGGACTATAATTTACCTACAATGGCTTGGAACAAACCTGCATCATGCTCCATATAATGGTTATTATGTTTTTCCATCAGCTTGATAGTGGATCAGCATGGCCCCACTCACAAAACCTGTATAAACCTGTTGCGCAACATTGGCCCACTCCAAATTTCCAGAAGAGAAGTTCAATAATTCATATAATTCCTCATTTTTCCATACCCCCCAAACAAATCTTTAGTACTGGATCGAATCCTTGGATAAAAACCATGATAAAACGATGTCGTCAACAAAGGGCCATAAAACCACGTGAGATGGCTGAAAAATGGCCTGGGCATCATCCCATGTCCACCCTGACAATTTCGGCCGCCCTGTTCCCCGTACTCTTTGAGCCGAGCAAACAAACAAGTCAATACATAAAGCAGCTGGGGTTCTTTAAAATGGGGGGATTGGTCCCACTTTATGACAATATCATACAATATCAATGGGAAAAATGATGACAAATGGAATGGAATGAGCTATCCATAGCTATCCTATTTTCAATCAAAACCATCACCCGAGATTCGACGAAAGCGACGGTTCCACTCCGTTCCACTCGCCCCAAACCACATCACAGAATCATCAAACCCTGAGGATCGGTGTGAAATTATATGTCGTTGTCGGGTAAGTAGGCTCCACGGGGCTACTTAGCTGACACTGGCCTATAATTTGACTTATCGGAAAAATGGTCGGAATCTGTTGGAATAAGCATGCTTCTGCCAGCCAAGGTACCTCCCTGCAGCATTTTGCTTGGTTAGAGAGGACACAAGGTTGTTGAATCATCTAGAATCTAGAACAATTCTAGAATCTAGAATGAGGAGTACCCATGTTTGACTGTAAAGGCATGGAATGGGAGACTGCTCCGTATTTTCATCGACCGGTGTCTGGAAGCAAAAATTCGAAATGTCCGGGTTGCGGGCGAACAACCAAGTGTGGAGCTCTTGAATGCATCCCTGGCTACAAAGAGTTTGTGCAAATGGTTTGACCTGGTGGAAAGATCACCACGGTATTTGCAACAATCAGTTGCTGATGAAATTTTTGATGCAGGACAGGTTTTTCTGAAAACCTACTTGCGTTTAGCTTTGCATTCTTTAATTGAGAAATCGCAAAGATGGAAGTTTCTTCCAAAACTGCACAGTTTTATGCATCTTTGTGAAGATGTAAAGTCTTCACTTTACAACTGCCGTTTTTTTCACTGTTTTCGAGATGAGGATTTTGTCGGCTTGTGTAAGCGGCTGGCAGTTCGAGTACATAAGGGGCCGTTGTTTGAATATCGCATCATGACGCGTTGGCTTTTGCGTCTGTCTAGCTGGGACCCTAGCTGAAAATTGAAAAGGTGTGGGATGTGACGGGGTATGTGCAAGTCCTGATTTGGTTCATGTTACCCTGAGCTCAACATGGGATCTATCGGAATGTATCGGAAAAAGTGGGTTTCCGTTAAGTATATGAATTTGATGCACTTACCACCTCATAGCCCCTAAGTGATACAAAACCGGCTACTTTCTGATAAGTGAAATTATAATGCATGCTCTTGATCCCCGGGGAAACCAAGCTCACATCAGAACACTACGCGGCGTCTTTTCTGATCATGAACAATCCGTTTTCAATGGCATTTGGCGACACGGGCTGTGCCCATGGCTGAAGCGACTGGAAGGTCTGATTCTGATGTCTGCAAAGAAGTAGGTTTACATGTATATAGCACCAATGGACGCCAATAGTACAGGAACGAGCAAGCTCGGAACACGAAAGGGTAACCTTGTGGCATTTCTCAAATGAAGCTAGCGATGCCAACTATCCTATTGAAGATATTGAAGGATATTGAAGGCATCAGAAGACTTCGAAGAAAGCTTCGTCACAACCAGAAGCGCACGTTCTCCATTTTGTGCCGTCCCTACAGTACAGGGATGAACATGTGCTTGAAAGAATCCAAAGGGTTGTTTATCATTCTCATTCATGGTAGCACAGTAGTACTGTGAGTATTATCATTGTGATGTGTACCTGTGTGTATATACATATATATATATTATACACACCATTGTACACCTAGTTCTTGAAAAGGTGATGTACTTGCATTATTCCTGTCATTATCATTGTTGTATATTGTTGTCATCATTGTCATGGTTGCTATGGTCAAACGCCATCGTGGCCCGGACCCGGAAGGATCATCGAAGAAATCATTGTCATGGTATGTCATGGTATGTCATGGTATGTCATGGTATGTCATGGTTTTTTAAACGAAAGTAATTCAGACATGTTCAGACCATATCAGACCTTCAAAACAGCTCCTCAGCTGAGAAAGCATCGACCTACAGGCTCAACAAAGACTCGATGCTCAACCTGCTAGATCCCAGTCACAGTGGAAGCGTTTTTTCGAATCAGAACTGATACATTTGGATTGGCTTTTCCGGGAAAAATATGGAAAAATGCAAGGCCCCTCATATTTCATGGTATCTTTACATGATTTTACATGTAAAGACCATAGTTTCCTTTTTTGATGTTCAAAAAAACAATGCAATGATACAATCATTTGAAACTGTGGCAATACGAAAAAAAAACACCGGATTTCCCATGGCCACCCCCAAATCCATTGAAAAAGTTACTAATCATTATCCCTATGGCCCGCCATTTGGGAAAAATACCATGGTATATAATATATAGTTACCCATTTTCTATACACATGTATGGTAATTTTATGTAATATGTTCATGTTTTCGCAAGTCTTTGTTGAGCAAGCATCTCTACAATCCACGAGACCGTCTTTGTCTGTGGGAGGCGTGCATTGACTTCGCAGAAATGCCACAACTTCACCCGGATCGGGTTTCAAGAACTGATGTTGAGCTTCCACCATAAATTCAGCTTGACTGAACCATGAAACGGCTCATAGCATTTAGAAGGGGTGCGATGTTTCTTGTTTGTTTTTGGTGTTTTTTCCGTTTTGGGGGTCTAGGAGCTTCTTTCCTTGATTTTCCAAGGCTTTTACTTGATGATTTTTGGTTGGTCACAAAATTGAAAGTGATCTGAATTTAGTTTTAGATTAATCAGCATTGATTTAAACTTGATTTCAAATCTCAATTTAGAATTGGTCTAAATTCAATTCAACGACTAATTTAGATTGAATTTAAACACATAATTTAATACAACAAAAAATGTCTTTAAATTAATAAAAATTGAGAATCAATGTGAATCAAAGTTAAGAATAATTTAGATTGAATGTAGATTTAATACTGACGCGAAAATCCATATATGTTTAATTATGACAAATTTAGACTTAAATTGACACAAATCTGAATGCAATTGTAAATTGATAAATCGGATTCAATAGTTAATTTAGGTTATATAACATCATATAAAATCCATCTAAGTTTAACTGTAGGTTAAATCAAGTTTAAAAGCAAAATTTGAATTAACTCGAAATTGGTTTAAGTCTGAATTGATATGAATCTAAACTAAAAGCAATTTAGAGTTCATGTAGATTTGATTTAGATGTCATTTCAACCATATATTCAGTTTAAAAAGCAATGTACATTTGGTTTAAAATTGAGTTAGTTTCAGTTTGCGATGATTTAGTTGTATCCTAAAGTTAATTAAAATCAAAACTTACTTTTGGAATTGGAAGTAAGAAGCCAAAGCCAAAAGCCAAACTGAGACACATCCCAAAATAGCTTATTTAAAAGCTTCTGCCAAGTTGTCAGCCCTCAACTTGCAGGATTGGTGGTGCCTCTGGTAACTTAACAGCTTGCTGCTGGGAAAATCACCACTGGCTGGGTAAATGGCAGTGTGTCAAAACCTTGTACCCCTGGTGAACATCAAAATAGCTGGTACATGGATGTTCATCCCACTAAAAATGGTATTAATAGGTATTGATCCATAGCCAAATCATCAATGGGCGTCCATAGGTGAAGTCACCGGATGGTTTTCAGGGCCAAAGGCATTCGGCGACGGTCAGGGGCCTGCTTTTTCAAGCCTAGCGCAAGGTGAACGTCCGGTGTCCAGACTGCCACATGAAAAAATATGGAAAAAGCCTAGGCAAAAGCATGGCAGTGCTGTTCTGCTGAGAACATAGATCTTCATTCGCCATGATCCCCTCAAAGATGCTGACATGGATATCCAGAACCATGGATTGATACACCACGGCAACAAACCTCGGAACTTGATCACGGCTGCGCCTCTGGCGAGCGTAGCTCCTGCAGATGCTGGGGGAAAGGCATGAGCCTGCAAGATGTGTTTCGTCTTGTGCCATTGATTCAAGGGCATGGTCCATAAACCCCAAGATTGATGGTGAGGAAAAAAAAACAGTAGTTTCTTGAGAAAAATAGTCCCTTGAATCAACCACTTATATTATCATGTAATATCCCGCGATATGTTATCGACTCATGTCTGGAGTCCTCTGCTTGAGGCAGCCATGGGGAAATGCCGGTGAACCTAAACGCTGTTTTTTGGAAAGTGCTGCCAGGGAAGAAATCGATGGCAATATATGGCAATCTTCAGCCACCAGAAATGCTGGAAAATATGAAATATATTGACATTTCCAGTGAAAATACAGCTAGAATATGTTGGAATGATATCTACAGGATTCCACAGGTATCGTTGGAAACATCCAAAGATGCGGGTCTTCCAATCTTCCAACATATTGTAAGGCTGCGACCGCTGAAGGCCTGCGGAACATGTCGCAACGTGTGTTGTTTGGAATGGATGTCTCTATATATAGCCTGCAGTCCAGTTCTTTTTGGCAAATACCCTCAGGCAATTTGGCAGAGCCATGGCAAAATATGGCAAAATTACCCACCTAAACCGTGTAGATGAATTACCATGAATTACCTATTCAGCATGACCATTTTCTGGGACTACCAGAGGGTCGGCCGGCGAAAACTATGGTAACTATGAAGGCTTCCAGAAAGCATGAGAAAGACAAACCGCAACTACTCAACCCACAGAACCCTCATTGTTGGACTACACTGTACCACACAAGCAACCCAAAAGTCTGCAAACATCGCGGTATCACAAAAAATCTGTATAGATAATCTAAAAATATCTGCAAGTCACTGAGGGAGCGTCAAATACCCATGTTTTTGGTGATGGAAACTGACCACGGGCTCTGCCTCCATCCCTCTGCTGCGAGACCTGTGGAGACGAGGCTCAGACTGGATTCTCCAACAAACCCATTTATATATGACATATCTCCCTGGTAGACCCCTATGATATCCATAAGTATGGAACCATTATATGGACATTTCGACATTTCCGGACATTTCCTAAAATCAGGATTCCCTAAATCATCCAAGTCATGGATGTTGAAACCTATGGGGACTTTGAGATTCCCAACTTTTCCCCCTTGGCCGTCTCCAAGGCCCACACATTGCGTCCCAACCAGCTGGGGAGTTCAGGAGCCTCAGATCTTCATGGCATATTGATAGTCAATTATTGATGAGATATTAATCGGACATTAATGGGATATAAATGACATTTATATGGGATATCCGATATTATATGGGATATGTTCCATGGATATCCGATAAAATGAGCCTCAATCAGACATTAGTGGGATATAAATGGATAAAACATAACGTGATATAACTTATCATAACTAGTGAGATGGTCTTTGGCTGTCTGAAATGGTGAGACTCATGTAGCAGTTTCGTGCAACATGCAGTCTAAAACAAACATAATATAAATAAAACATGAGATGGAATGGTGTGCCATTACTTTCAGACTGAGCAATATTCTGTCAAAAAAAAAATAACTGCTATTTACTGAGTTTGTTTAAACAATTGATGCGTCTTTATGTCAAGAATGGATATATAGTGTGTATAGTTTGTATTTTTTTTTTGACTGCATTGTACGTATATAAAATGAATATCTGACTGAATATCTGACTCAAATCCACTGAATCCGTTCCTGGTTTCCGCAGCAAGTCCTCGATTCCATAGTTGGTGTCTCAACTAGTTGTGGAGTCCCGTATTGTGGATCAAGAATTTGAGAACATTCTTATCATTCTTGCTTCAAAGCAGAGATGTGCGAAGATTATCACAGTATCTTTGATATCTGCCAAGAGAAAAAAACGCGCTGTAGCCTGCCCCATCAGAAGGGAAAGCCTTTTCACGAAGAATCTGACTACGCACCGCCCTGCGCCCAACACCTTCCTCAAGGGATTGGTCCAGGCTCTGAAGATTTCTGAACGAAACGGAACCTCCAAGGACTGATTCACCGGAGTCCCTGCAGGGCTGGTACTACAAATTTTACAGCAAAAGTTGCCAACATTTATATTCAGACCTCCCATGAATCAGTGCTAGATCGGTTCCAAAAAAAATCCACGGCTTTACGTGTGAAACGCCTTTTTGGGTGTGTGCAAGATGCTGCTGCTTTGACCAGCAAGAGGAAGCACGGCAAGGCCACTGGGTCTCATCAGCACCAGTCTGAACTGTGCATGGAATGTTCATAAATGGTCAGTGACAACTACGGCAACATCCAGAAACTCACTTTTCATGAGCTTCCTTCAAGTGGCATAAAATGCCAGCTTCCAAGCAAGTGATTTTTTTTGTTCTAATTCGCAGAATTTCTCTATTCTTGGGGCTCTAATTATTCTAATTTAGCCACTGATACTCCTTTGGAGAAGGCATGGATGGAATCGGACTATCTTCTGGCAATCGTGGCGATGACCCCACCATGGGGCTAGCCGGGCTGGCCGGGCTATCGGGTCGCGGCGCTGTCCGGGCCACGTGCCGTTTGCGGGGCGAGGGGATGGAAGGTATGGGGCTGTCGTCCGGCACCTCGGGGAAGCCCTTGGATCCCTTGGGAATTGGAGAACTCAATGCACTCAAAGGACTCTTTGATGGGACTGGTGAGCCCATTGAGCTCGGGCTGAGCCACTCTCGCGGACAGGTGCGCATCCAATCAATGGCATGGAGGATGCCGCGAACGGACTCATTGAACTTCCCCAGGTCTCCAAAGGCCATCTGGATGATGTCTAACATCTTCTCCTGGAGGACGAAATCTTGAAAGCCACTGATTGGAAAATGTTTAGACCTTTTCCTGGCAGCTTTTGAAGCAGGAAAAGAAAGTTCAACATGTTCAACTAATAATTAAATGATTATCAATGAACAAATTCCGCCCCGAATCCAAACCCTGGAAAAAGATACCAATTGTAATTGTTGGCCTTGTTGCAAGGCCCATGCTCTTTTCAACCTACTATACATGTTTTTTGGTATATGCATTATATATATATATAATTATATATATATATAATTATATATATATGTCTACACAACATCCCACGCTGCAAACATTTCTGGCAGTCCAGGCCCAGGCCAAAAAAAAACAAGTGCTCCTTGTCGGATGTGTTGAAACATTCCTGAGACAGGCACCCCTGCACCTGCTTCGGGGGAATAGTATGATGTCTCATGGGACTGTACACTTGGTATGAGCTGTGGCCAAGATCCAGTGGGTTTCTGTTCATCCAAACCGCCTTTAGGCGGTCGCTGCCATTCGGACAGAACATGCCATTCTGCCATTCGCTGCCATTCACTGCCATTCATTCGCACAGGATTTTTTGGGGACATCATTCAATGGGAATTCCAGGATCCTAAAATGGAGGTACTGTACCATATAAGGACAGATTTTGCTGGGATATTCCCTTACATAGGCCTTATATAGGCCTTATATATGGTAGGTAGGTACCTCCATTTTAGGATCCTCAAATTCCCATTGAATCATGGGACATCAGACATCTCAGCTTTCGCCCAAGGATCACAATTCAGCACATCAAAGTCCAGGAAGGACTGACGCATCGCAGAACGATCTTCCAACTCATGACCTGTCGATCTCAGCTACACGATTCAAGATTAAAGATCATACATTGATAGCCAACATAAGTTATTGATAAGTTAGCCATTATTAAGTATTACCCTCTGGTTATGACTAACATAGCCATGGAAATCACAATGTTTAATAGGTAAACTTAAACCATCTATAAATGGGACATGTTCCATAGCTATGTTAAATAACCAAAGGGTAATGATAAATGATTTATGGTGATTAACCGCAATTGATAATTAGCACGTGCTGCTGCTTCAGCGGCTCAGGAAACGTGCTTCCGCATCAGCTGATGGGACTTGGCTACTGTTCATTATTTTTCTCATCGAGATTATTGCTAATAAATTATACACTGCCTTGCAAAGAGAGTCACAACCTGATGGCATCACAACATATCACGACATATCACAACATATCACAACCATATCGTTCTTCTGATTGCTTGATGCGGAAAAGGATCAACCCCGTGCCCTGAGCACAGACCCCGAGTAAACTCACTCTACCTCGGCGTAAGATTGGGATCACGTTGATGTCAGAGGGCTTTCCGCCAATGTGGACCTGTCAGCACAACTAAACGCCTGGGTCGTTTACGGGTTGGTCCCCTGAAAAAGTGCCAGCTGACAAGAGAAAATGATGACCAGAAACACACACACTGGTAATTCCTATCTTTAAAAAATCAGCAATAGTTGCTTCCATTTCCATTGCAGAAAAAAATCCATGGCCAATGATGTTTTTGGCCCAGCCACAGTTTACATTTCCATTTCGTGCAGAAAAAAATTCATGGCCAATGATGTTTGTGTGGCCCATGCCCAGCCACAAAACACATCCAAGCGGCAAAAGTAAACAATTCCATAATACACCAAAGGCGGCTCAAGTACGTTGGGCCACCTGAGATGGTGGAGTGCTTGGAAAAAAAAGTTCCAACGCCGACTCTGAGAAAAGTCTCAGTGCAGATATGTTGCCATCTGTTGCAATAGATTGTGTTGCCATCTTTTGCAATAGATTGAAATGATGTAAAGTATAAAGGAAAGTTCATATCAACTTGATGAGACACTCAAAGGGCTGGAAGTCCACTGATTCTGCAACATGCAAAACCTTTCAGTCAAGGCACAGAAGACGACCAACTCTGAGCAGCCAGAGAGGAAAATTGGTAAACCTGAGGAAAGGCATGGAAAAGCACCCAAAGGTACACCATTCGGGTTTCTGGAAAACTACAGGGTTTACCGCACACCTTAGTTTCATCATTAAAAATGACCAATATTGGATTGATCACGCGGGCTTTCCCGCCACCTCTCACGGAGAGAAACCAACCACATCCCCACTCGATTTGTGTCAGGATACAGCGAAGATCAGCTTCAATGTCGTTCTGATCCTCAGAACTTCAGCAACTGAATGGACAAATGTGGCTTTGTCTGAAGATCGAGTGTTCCAACATCAAGTTGTGAAAATCATCATTTGTCCTATCAAAATGATCACGAATCGGCTGGTATACCCTATTTCAGGCACACCTAAGTCCTTGAGAATCAAACTCAGTCTTCACTCACGGACCCCGTGAAAAATTGGTTCCATGGTCGAAACTATATCTGTAGCAAGATCCGACCTCGCTTCGGAAATCTTTAGAACCCAGTGATGGGATGTAATCCAAATATTTTTTCGCTAAGACTCTTAGGTTATATGTTTTTTTATATATCCCATTCTGAATGCTATCCTCGTGAAATCCCACATGAAATCCCATGTTTTTCGCTGCCAGGGCAAATCATTCCATGACCTGAGCCCCACGCAATGCAGCACTTGTCCAGCCAAATCTGGGGCGGCCGCTTCCTGTGGATCCAGGTTTTTCTCTATGGTTCAAACTCGAAAATATGGGAATGTGATGGGGATATCAATGGTTATGATTTATATATATATATAATTATATATATATTATATATGTATATATATATATGTATCCGTTTGTATGATTTTATGTATATGTATGGCAATCTTAATGTGGAAAATGATGATCAACCATCAAATTGAGGGACACCCGATCTTCCAACAAAAAAAATCGTGACAATCAGCATAAGTCTTGCGCAAGAGCATGAATGTATTACATCCATCACAATCAAACTGGCAGGGATTCTGCAACTGGTGTTGGTTTTCATGCAAAGGATGCAGTTTGGAATATTCCGGTGATTCTCTGTTTGCTTTATTCTGCCGGTGCCACGATGCGGCCTCGCCGTAAAGATTTTTTGGTCGGAGTCCAAGAAGGGGATACTCCAAATCGTGGGGAAAATGATGAACCATGGGATTGGATGGGATTGGATGGGATTGGGGGATACCCCATCCATCCAGCCATCCAGCGGAATCCAGCGGCTCCTTTTTGTCTCAAATCTGTATCTCCAGCAACTCATGGCTTCCTGGGGATCTGGCACTGCGTCCATATCACCCCAACTGACATATATTCCGACTTTGTATCTGACAGGCCTGAAAGGGATTCTGATAATCGATCTGACATATCAAATGTTCTGACATCTTATCCGACATATAATACATATATATATTATAATAAATATATATATATATATATGCATGCTCATCTCACACAAATTCCAACATGTTATGCCTCTCAGTTCGATCGCGATTGGGCTAAGTCATGGATGTTTGGTTCGCCCTCACCCTGCAGGTACACATCATCAACCTTGCAGGAACACTATCTGGCCTTTAAACATCGGGCATTCGTCATAAATGATACCATCTGGTTATGACTAACAGTTTGCCATGGAAAGATGCACCATGCTATTAATAGGTACACCCAGGTAAACCATCTATTTCTATGGGCCATGGCTTCCATGGCTATGTTAGTCATAATCAGAGGGTATACACAAAATGACATTTTATCTGACATGCTGACGTCTTATCTAACATTGTACATCACTGTATATCTGACTGATTATCTATGTATATCTGACATACCCTCTGGTAATTTAACGTAGCTATTGAAAATGGTGATTTATAGTGGATTTTCCCATTAAAAATGGTGATTTTCCATAGCTATGTTAAGCTACCAGAGGGTAGTGTTCGCGGGGCCCAGAGAGCCTGCGGAGGCTCTCTAACGGGCTTAGTCAACTTCACCGAGAGACCCATTTGGCAGGGGCATCATCGTGCCATGAGTGGGAGACAAAGGCATCACCTCAGTGGCAGGCTCCTGGTTCAACTGGATGTTGGTTCTCTATCATGACAAAAAAAAAAACGTGGAAAAAGGGCTTTAACCTACAAAATTGATGTGGAATATACATATGTATATATATAGACATATAATGATACTATATATATATAATATATATTATTACATATTTAGATAACCCACAAACAGAAATGGATGAGATCTACTTCTGGCTTTATTAAGTGATGTAACTGGCAATACTTGGTGTCTTTTACAGAACCGTTGGAAAATGGATCGCCAACGGTGATCTCATGCGATTTGGGGGCTGACCTGGACTATCAAGTAAAAAAATGCCTCTTAATGTTTCTCGATGCCTGCAAAGGCAATATATATATATATATATTAATATTATATATATATATTAATATTATATATATATATTAATATTATATATATATATTAATATTATATATATATTAATATTATATATATATTAATATTATATATATATATTAATATTATATATATATTAATATTGTATATATATATTAATATTATATATATATATTGATATTATATATATATATATATATTAATATTATATATATATTGCATTTGTTTTTTGGAATCATATCACCAATGCATCTTGATTGTGAGCGTTACTTGAGTCTCGTGATCTTCTGCGCTCATGCATGTTTGCAAGACGCTATGAGGGCGCAATAATGTACAATAATTAGCAATATATGTGCTAGGGCTTGGCATTGGCAGGATCTAACACTGAATCTAGCACAGCGGGCTGCAGACATCATTTTATGCAGTTACTGAACTACCGTTATCCTTCACTCTTTCATATCATGTACATATCATACATGTTGATTTTGCTGTAGCTTGGGCAATTTGGAAACCACAGCGCTGCACATGAAAATGGCGGGTCCCGGCAGCCATGCGACCATTTTTCAGTAACAATTTGATTATGATATTGGTAATTAGCTATTGTATGCTATTGTAGATTGTGGGTTTTCAGTAATTGTTATTGGTCTATAGATTGTAGATATTTTTCAGTAACCCCACAATATGACCAGTGGATTTGGGGCGAACTATAGCTATTTCAAAAGCCCGGCCAAAAGATCTGAGGGACAACAGCCCAGCTTCACAGATTGAGACAGAGCAAAGACCGCAGGACCTGAAAAATGTTGGTCATCAGTGATGGCTTTCACATGGAAAATCCTATGAAAATCCTATGAAAATCCTATGGATGATTTGGGGGGTAGCCCTATTTTAGGAAACCTCCACATTCCATGGTCACAAGCTGCGGTCTGATTTGGGTGATGCAAAATCTTGGTTGTGCCTAGTGGCCTCTCGTGGAAAATGAGAAAGCAAACTTCACATTTTACCGTGGCATGTATATTTCACCAGTTATAATTGGAACTGCCATTGAGTACGGGGCCTGTGGTTTCATAACTGGAATTGGACATCTATCCGATCTATATGATCTATCTGTGGAATTGTCTTGACAGACTTTGGATGTGCCCGGCTCCTCGTTTCTGATTTTGCCATATCTTCAGTTGAAATGTCAAACTGTGTTTCCTGGAAAACGCCATGGTCCACGAAACTATTCAATCAAGCTGCTTGGCTGATTGGTAGCCAGTTCTCTGTCTTCAAGCCTAAGGCTCACATCAAAAGGCAAGCGAACATTTGCTCATTTGCAGACTATGTCATGACACGCTCAAATAACACTTGCATGATTTCAAACGGGACAGCAAGGCTCAAATGAGACACCAAGAGAAGGGGAAGAAAAGAAACGCAGGTGTTCAGGTTTCATGTTGTTTAATTATAAACTAATAGACTATAGACAAATTTGGCAATCATTGGAGTTGTGCGGTTGTATCACGTTGTATCTCCGTACAAATGGTTATTGATACCCCTGTCTAGTGCACATCTTAGATATCTTAGGGGAACCGGCTCTTTAGCCAGCGCACCTTGCTGAATCCCTATGGCCTGTGGCCTAACCTTTTGACCCCAAAAAAATGGTTGGGTGAAGAACGAGGTCACGTTGGTAATTTCCATATCTCATAAAATGAACTCCTCTGAGACTCTGAGCCGTGACAAAAACGGTCATATAAAACGGGCATCCAAATGTTTTGGGATCATCGAAATCTGGAAAATGTCTGGGCAAGATATCGGCTCGACACAAACCGGTGGGTTCAACGTGAACACCCAAAACTCCGATATATTTTGACAGTCAATACATGCTACTGGAAGATGCTAAATGCACGGGGATCTGGGCTCCAACCACCCTTTTTTATTAAACATCCAACGGGTATGTTGTATTGTAGTTGCATCCCAAATCATGGCTGTTTTTTGGTTGCTTCAATCCCCATCTGCCATCATTGCTGAGATTCCACCCCCAAATTTCAAATCTCGGGTCGATATGTATTCAAACTCACCACAATATCACTTGAGGATCTAAAATCCGTGGTACCTTGGGTAGCTAGTTCCGAGCCCAGTATACTGACACATATAGCTAGATGTTGGGTGTAAATATATATATATATATATGAGTAGCGGACAAAATGTTAAATTCAATGCCATGCACAAATCAGGGTCGTCCCCTATCGGTTGTGAGGATTTCAGTATTCCCGGAGGTATCACAAATGGGGTATCAGTATAGGGTCGTCCCCGATCGGTTATTAAGGTTTTGTGCAACCTCGGAAAGGCCAAGGCGAAGCAAGAGTAAATTAGTATTACAATAATTTTGTCGGTTACTCATATAAGGTCCCCGCCCCCACAGAACCCCCATATCCATATATAATGCACGAGAAAATAATGAATCACCCCTCTCCTCTAAAACATTGTAAATATCAGTAAAATATACACATTGCAACTTCAACATTGTCATTTTTTGTACATTTGTGTAGGTTACATAGGCCTTTTATTGAAGGCTCTTTTTCTTGCCTTCTTCTGTCATGCCAAAAGACAGCTGCGCGTGACCATCATGGTGCAGATGCATGAATTTACGCATGACGGTTAAACCTTTATGGGAAATTATAGCCGTTGGGTGCCGTTGTATTCTTAAACAACATCAATAAGGAAACAAAGCCAGGGCCCGTCACTACGCAAACACACCAACTCAAACTTAAACATACAACATTTTAAATTTATAAACTCTTCACATCACTGATGTAAAAATTGCACATGCGGAATGACGCTGCTGGATGAACGATCTCTGAGCACACTTCTTTTTTGACCTCGTCGGCGAACTACGGTTCGATTCATTCTACAAATGTTTGCACCTTTGGGTCCATCGATTTTTTATTGTTTTTCACCTCATCAGTGTAAGACATTCTGTTGGTCATTACCATGACTCTGCATTTGTTGCATTCAACATTGCCACATCTGGCCCCTCTATAAAATCCCCCATAGGGAGGGAAATGAACGCAGTGAAACGAAAGGGTTTGGCATGAGTCTCTCCTTAGTTTGGTCTAAACAATGTTGATCATTGCAAAAGGCAACATCTTGCAAAACATCGAAAAAATGATTCATCGCCATTGAATAGATGCTTTTGGCATCTAGGTGTCGACATGTGCCAAAAACACGCGTACCCAAAAGTGTTTTATAAACACAAGTATCGAGTAACATACATAGCTACTTCACCTTCACATATAGCAGTGCTAACCTACGCTCAGGAACGCGGAGACCATATATATCAAGAGGAGCTTGGGGGACGCGTAGCTGGCACAGACAAAAACATTTTTTCTTTAGAGGCATCCTTAGAGGAGCCAAGTTTGGTTTCGTTCACGTTTGTTCTGTCAAATGTCATTGTGCAGGAACGTCCTCCGGCATTGGTTTGGAGGTCGTTTCAATATTCTTTGTGCAGGAATGTTAATGGGCATTGCTCCGAGGCTGAGGTGTTTTGTACATGTTGACTTCGAAATGTGGTGCGCACCACAACGGCGTGCACTTTTTCGACATCTCAACTTCCAAAAGTGCTCCGAATGTGCGGTGTTTTTAACTTTTTCGCTTCCAAATGTGCTTCGTGCCACAACTCCGTGCACTTTTTCGGCATCGCAACTTCTAAAAGTGGTCCGACGTTGGTGTGTTTTGTACATGTTGACTAGGAAATGCGGCCACAACGGCGTGCAACTTATCTGACCACATGGCTCCGCACCGGCCGCTTTAGCGAGCGTACTTTTCGACAATCATTGGAAAAACACAGTGAATCGCGACTACCTTTTCGCGCACCTGCATCTTCTGTCTTCTGACTCTTTCTCTTTTCTGCTCTTCTCTCTTCTACTCTTCTCTTCTCTCTGACTCTTCCCATCTCTGCTTTTCATCTGTCCATATTGTCGGAAGTTTTCCTTGTAAACTTCCTTCGATTAAAGATATTTTCTGGTCAATGACACGGTATACTGAAGGTATATTGCAGATAAACCAAAGGTATATTCTTTGTAAAATACGTGGTATGCTAAAGATAAATTCAATGGATTTCAATGGTACATTACAGGTATATTAAATAATATAGTACTGGTATATTGCAGGTAGATTAGAGGAATTGTGAACGTATATTCAAGGTATACTCATGTTTTATGAACCGGTATACTACAGGTATATTAAATGGTATATTAAAGATAGATGTTTTGAAGGTATATTTGAGGTAGACTAAAGGTATATCCAAGGTATTTTCAAGGTCAATTAATGGGTATTAGAGGTAGATTCATCGTATATCAAATGGTATGCCAAAGGTATATGAAATTGTCTATTAAAGGTATACCAAAAGGTGTATTACAGTAGATGGTATTTAAAAGGTATATTCAAGGCAGGTATACTAAAGGGATATTGAAGGTTTATTAAACAGATATTTTCATGCTCAATAAAATGGTATCTTAAAGGTATATTGAAGCTTTAATCAAGGTATATTCATTGTATATTATATATGGCTGATCAAGACATTGTTCGTACTGTGCTGCCTCTACCTCATCAAAAAGACAAAAAATATCCCCCAAAAAGGAAAATGTAAAAACCACATTATTGGGTGTTCGGGGGGGGGCGCTGAGCACATATATATATATATATATGTGTGTGTGTGTAAAGGATTTATGCATGGTGATATATGGTGATATAATGCGATGTATATACTCTAATCTGGAAGTACATGGCTCAATTCTTGACTTGCGCCATCTATGTCACAGGCAAAATACAGGGGATGGATGGCGCAACTCCATTTTCAAACAGGTAGTTCGCGGCAAGTATAAACCTAAAAAGGACATATTTTTTGAAATCTTCTGCGCTGGTTTGCACCCATGTTTTTTCCTCAATATCAAGCTGCCTTTCGGGGACATACATGGCGCAAGTCCCACTCATTCGCCAAAATCAGGCTGGGAATGCCCACATAGATGGCGCAAGTTCCTCATATCTCCCGACATCCCCCAAACGACCTAACCACAATAATTATGCCACCTAGATGGCGCATCTCCTTTCATCCTGAGGAAGAAATATGCCCCAAAAATCGGGCCTGTTTCCAAACAATTCCAAACCACGTAGATGGCGCAAGTCAGGGGTTTGATGATGAGGATAAAAGCCTGTTTCTAAATGCGTTTGCCACTGCCAACCCCCCTCAGCCTGCTGAACTGCCATGTTTGGGCGGCCTGGATCGATGAGGACAAAATTATGTTCGTAAATGTGCTTGCCAATGCCAACCCCCTCGGCCTGCTGAACTTCCATGTTTGGGACGCGCATGGACAGCACAAGTCAGGAAAGGGCTTGATGATGAGGACAAAATTCTTTTTTGTAAATGTGTTTGCCAATGCCAACCCCCCACAGCCTGGAGAATTTGAATGCGATTTAAGGGACATAGATGGCGCAATTCATTTTTGAACCCATCTAAAAATTTTCTGGCTTGAATGAGATTTAATGGACATAGATGGCGCAACTCATGAATTTGATTTTAAAAAAAAACAGTAAAATTTGAACGGGATCTACTGCGTGGGATGTTTGTTAGCCAACAGTGTACAGTGGCAGTGGCAGAGTAGCGAAGATTATCCCTCGCTTTAGGACACCCCCATGTGTGTATATATAAATATATATATATATATACAATACTATAAAACATGTGTAATCTACAGTATAAACAGGCAAAAATGATCGGACATGTAGTAAACTTAGTAAACTATACCCTTATGTCCAACTGGGGTAGTATTACTGGCAGTTGCGCCATCTACCTTTTCATTTTGAAGTAAATTGGTCATCCAGTATGCGCTATTTTGGGGCGATGTTTTTCTTCAACTGGATCTTTGACACAAGCCACATAAATGGCGCATCTCGTTTTATGTTCCAGCCAAAAAAACGCCGTTTTCTTCCTCACCGCGCGGTGCCATCTTATGGGTATTTTGGTTTTTGAGTTGAGCCAACTACTTTCAGGTTAGTGTATGCGGTTGTGTGTATATATATATATATACATAACCAATAGCACAACAAATTGGGTGGGGCATACATAATATATACATACATATATATATATATACATCACCATATCATAAACCATTTCATACATGATATATTGATTACAAACCATATCATAACCATATCTATCACCACATAAATATCCACCGGGAGACTTGGAGAAGTCCACGGAGCGGAAGCGTTTCTTCGCCTGGTGCATCACCTGCATCGAATGTTTCGTTCACCCATGGATTAAATGCTTATAATGACCAAAAAGGATTATATAACATCAAATAATCTGCATACAATACATATGTATAATATATATAATATAGTATAGTATAGTATAGTATAATATAATATACTATAGTATAATATAATATAATATAATATATTATAATATAAATATAATATAATATATATATATCATATATCAAATATCATATATCATATATATATACATATTCTAAATATATATATATATTATATATACATATTATGTGTATAATTATATATATATTATGATATACGTATATATATATATATTATATATGTGTGTGTGTATGTGTGTGTGTTGTGTGGGTGAGTTGCGCGTGCACTGTATATTCGTGATGTCTCCTCATGATATAACATGATCATAACATGATCCTTAACTAATTGAAATTGTGAAACCGCTTGCATCGGCGCCGCCTCTGAGATGGAGCAATTCCCCACCAAGCCAGCGATTCCGGCTGCAGCCGCCCGGTTGTTTCGATATCGCAGGATGTGCGAAATGAGGATCTGCAGGGCTGTGCGGCTGTTGTGCAGGGCTGGAGTCCATCCCAACCCATCAACGAGTCAACTTACACTCTGGTAATTTGACATAGCTATTGAAAATTGCCATTTATCGTGAGTTTTCCTATTAAAAATGGTGATTTTCCATAGTTATGTTAGTTTACCAGAAGGTAAGTTCAACTGTCGGAAAGCGAAGAGAAATGTGCAACTGCCAACAATCGTTACAGCCGGTGTGAGCAGGTAACGAATGCTGTTCACAGGGGTTACAGCCTTGAGGCTCAAGGTTAATGTGGCGGTGGAAACAACCCTGCAACCACCGCCACCAGCACCAAGAGAAAGAACAAGACGAAGAACAAAAATAAAACACAAGCAAGAAAACAAACAAGAATTAGTAACTAGAACCAGACCTAGAACCACGATGAACCACGTGTATTGGGTCAATGTTCTCGCGGCCTGTACTTTGCTCCGCACCATCTTCATTCGACTGAGAATCAGAGCAGGGACCATTCCTATGAGCCGCATCGACATTGGATCCAGCAAGTGCATCTCAACTGCTACCTTGCCAGTGCTCAGCAGTTTGACAGCAACAAGATAGCACTGGAAATACATGGAGATCCCCTTCCATGCCAGCGAGCCCGATAGAAAGTTTATGGGGCATTCTCAAACTGCAAGCAGCCAGTGTGGGAAGGGTCCCGTCACCTATGTCTCACTCCTTCTTAGCGCCAAAAGATACAGAACTCCACACTTGAATAAATATAGTTATAATTGTTTAACCCTAGCACCCTGTGGTTCACATCCCCATTCAACCGGTGCGGTATTGATCCATCGCCATATCATCCCATTTTGGGAGGTATTCCCAACCCCCTACTGTCTCCTTTCACGGTCCAAGGCGCACAAACCGTGTAAAGCAGAATTGCGCTGAGTTCCTGAGCGTGAACTTCGCAATGTCGGGATCCCAGGGTCAACTTGGAGGGCATTCCCTGATCAATCTGCATTAATCATTGATTCAATCAAGAAAAACCAAGTATTTCAGTGATTTCTGTGGGGAACACTCCAACGATTCAAGCATCTCTGCTGACAAGTTTCCATAGAAATGAAAATTGTAGCTATCCTCCACATAGCCCTGCGAGCGAGGAACCGCGCCGACCCAGAAATTGCCGACAGGATTGATACAGGAAGAACAACATAACCCAAATGCTCCATGTATTGTATGTTTGCTTGAGTTGAGGAAAATGTCGGAGCAAATATTTGTGTATGTATACATACATGATATATATATATACACACAGTATAAAAATTGTATATATATTATCTCAACATGGCAACAACCATATTGGAAGAGAAGCCAAATTCCTGGCCAAACCTCCTACTCAATTTGTCGAAAGCTGGCACCTCTGCATGTTCCCGGCATCCTGGAAGAAGGTCACCACGAGATTTGCGAAAGTCAGCACCCCCAAGGACACCAAGCGCCTAGCAGCAAGGGACTAAACCCTGGACCCATCCCCCTTGCATTAAACACCACTGGATGATCCCAAGTGTAAGTCCCCCAACAAAAAAACATGGTTTCCCGGTCTTTCATATTGGGAAGGGATTAGTTTGGTCCGCTGCCAAATGGTTGCTAAAATGATAACCCCCTTTTTTCAAATGGCCCAAGAGGTGATTTACCCAAGGTTGACATTGCATATCTAGACAAGACGTGAAAACATCTACAGTACCCTGATGGGAACCGAGATGATTGTTGCTCAAAACTCTCAATCCTGCTTCTTTGGGACCTGGTCACAAACAAGATCAAACAAGCATGCTGCAAACCAGGTGGGTTTACCTTGCTGGGGGAAGTTAAGTCATCATCTGCGACCGAATCCAGAAATTTTACCCTTCGGTCGAGTCCGGTCGAGTCCGGTCGAGTCACAAGACAAGCTGAACGAATTT